TTGTGCATGCAAAATACAACAAACTTTTAAGAAAATTTGTTGGCAACGTTGATTCACGATTTCAGCGAGTACTTCATTCATATGCATTCAATTCCTTTCTTTAAGGACTCCGTTTCGACATTATTAATGCATATCGACAGCAAAATCAATTGTTTCCTTTAAAATCGTAAAATAAGAACATTACTTGCTGTATACATAGTTAAAAAAGAAAAATCTTGTATATTTGTAAGAAACCAAAACAAATTTGATGTTTACCAAATAGATTCGGACCCCCTACACGAAACGATGACAACAGAAGGCCAAATTGCACAACTCCACCGCTCTACCTACGAGACCTAAAGTTCTAGAGACCTGTCGTTCTGTCTAATTTAAATTAATATTATGTCAAGCTGCAACAGTTGCAGCCTCAGGCATTTCGACTTTGTCCTCTGGTCCTTTTTGGGCAGAGGCATCCCATTGGCCATTGTTCGCCGGCCACGCAAATTGAAATTGAAACTGCAACCGGATGTAATTGGGCATGCATACGAGGTGTGTTCAAAAAGTAAGGTGACTCTTCAAATTTCGCGAATTTCAAATTTTTCGATTATCGATTTTTTTGTTTTGTTATATTGGTACACTCTTCCCTAACATCTGTACCAAGTTTCAATGGAACATCCTCTTTTGTTTGGTTGTAAGAGGCGTAAAGTTACAAGTTGTTTTGCGAGCTCGGCGATTTTTTGCTATCGAAAAATATGGATCAAAGGATTTGGATTTTTTGGCCAAAAACAACACCACAATAATGCCTCAGCCACCATATTCACCGGATTTGGCCCCATGTGACTTTTGTTCCCAAAACTGAAGATAATCGAAAAATTTGAAAAATTTGAAATTTGAAAAGTCACCTTACTTTTTGAACACACCTCGTATAACTTCTAAAAGGTTTCGATAATCGAAAAATTTGAAATTCGCGAAATTTGAAGAGTCACCTTACTTTTTGAACACACCTCGTATGTACGTTCTGTACAGCTCTGTTCGCTTAGGTCGCTCTGTCCGTCTGTTGATAATATCATTGATAGCTTTTACCACAATTTGTAACCACAATAAGTTCTTGCTGGTCACAGTTGGAGGGGCAAAAAATGGGCATGGCTCCATCTGTGTGTGTCGTGAATGACAAATGGAAATTGAAAATTTTGAGCTGCCTTTATTTCATAATGGCTTGTTGATTATTACCAAAGTTGGCAAAAGTATTTTTAGTTTAGGTTTTTCGGATTTTTATTTATGGAAATTAACACAGCAATAATTGCAATACGAAGAACTTTGATATTACAATAGTATAAGTATACTATAGTATAGTATATATATGCTTTTCTAGATCCAAATCAAAAACTACTTTAGACAGTTTAAGTTTTTAAAGGATAGCTCAGGAATGCCCCACAACAGCAAAAAAAAAGCAAGGATATGGAAAAAAAGTGTAGCGGTTGTTGTAACGGCGAACAATAGTTTAACATTAGTTAATAAAGTCGCCTGTGTCTGCTGGCCAAGAACAAAAGTAAGAAAAAACAAAACAAAACTCAAGAGTCAGAATAAGTAAAGCGAAGTGGCAAGTGGAATAGCAGTGCAACAAGTGCAAAAACGCACGTGCTTTCCATTTACTCAGTATTTTCTATGACTTTGTACAATTGTTGTTTTCATCGCAGAGGTTTTTATTCTTTTAGAGGTTTATTCGAGCATTAAATAAGTCGAAGCAATAAAAGGGAAGGGCGGACCCTGCGCCCAGCATGACCAGCTGCCTGAGAACAATTGTCAACATAGCACACTGTTTTGTTTACGACATAAAACTTTTGTGCTTAAGTTTACCTTTGCCGCGGAGCACCAACATTATTTACCGTAATAGCTAAGCAACGAAGTACTGTGCCTTACTTTACTTGAACATCTTAGTTTAGTTTCGGTATTAAATTCTTGACAGTTCTAGGTGACCATCTCCCATCTATCAAAAAATGCAAACTGTCTAAATGTGTTGAAGACAAAGCCACTGTCAAAATAAACTACTTTTATGCAATTTAATTCAATGGGCCCACTTGCAAAGTTATGATCGTCACGCTAGGTAAATTTAGTAGGCCTGCCATCAGCAAACCTTTGCCATGTGCAGCGATAAAAATTAATGTAAACTCTCATATCCAAACTTTAATTAAGTCAAACGCGGTAAAATGTCTGCTAAACCTAGCGTTTCCCCACCGAAAAACTTTACGTGGCTGCTTTGCGGATAACAATATTTTGAAAACGATAACTGACAGTTGAGCGGAGGCTAATGGATGCGAGGGGTAGAGATTGTCATTAAAATACTTCCGCTTCCACAACATAACAGCAGCGGCACCCATTGTCAGTCGCCAGTGCTAATCAGAGATGATGCCAAAAGGTATTCATATGCAAAACAGAGAGACACAACGCTCACATTATTCATTGCAAATGGCAAACGGAAAGGATACCGGGTAGGGGTCCAAACTTTCGAGGCGCTTAAGGTAAAATATAATCAAAAGCCATGAAAACATTTTTACACGTCATTAAACTCAAATTCAACAAACCGTGGCAGCGAATGTTACAGCACCCACGAATCGTACATACACATTTATACAGGATCATATGCCTGGCGGCACACACACGAGCATACACTCCCAAAAGAAGGTTTCGCCTTCAAAGTTGCAAAAGATTGATGTGTCTCGGTTGCATAAATAAATTAAAGCTCCAGAGCTTATCAACCCTCGTCCTGCAGCGAGATTCAGGGGAAACTTAAAATTGGCGTGTAATAATTGCAATAACACACATGTAGCGCCAACTAATGAATAATAACTTTACGACAAGTTTCGTTTAAGTTTCGATTGCGAAGCGAACTTATTTTTGAGTCTAATTTTAAGGAAAATCAATAAAATTTGAAGTCCAGTTTAAAAAACTTTGCTCTGAAGGCTAAGTCCAGTAGACCCTTGATCCATAAGCCTTTGAATTATTAATTTTTAAGCTTCTGCACAGCACAAAAAGAGTGACCCAGGACCTTTGATTTCGCCTGTGGGTCAGTGAAGCTCAAGTAATAGGATGCGGAGAGGGTAGTGCCCCAGACCGTTCCCTCATATGTGCTTCCACGCTTGAGTAAGCATTGTCAGTAGCCGAAGGGCAACATTATTAAAAAGTCCAAGGAAATCTCGGCAAAAAGACAACAGCATATTGATAAAAAATCACATGCATAATGCATTCATTTTCCAAACCATTTCGCTACTTCTCGTCGTGGGAGTTTCAGCTTTCCAACTCAAAGCTGATTATTTTTAGTATCCAGACAGGCAATTTGTTCAGCTGCCAAATGCAGAATGAAGTAAAAATAAAACCAAATAATAAAAAGAAAAAAATTATATACAGACCAAAAACTGTGCTTCAGGCCTTCTGACAAACGAAATAAAGAGAAAGGTTACAAACTGACAGTTTTCCTCCCTGGTTGTATTGTTTTCTTTTGCTAAGGCTAACAATAACCATTGTTGTAACCTTCCATCAAGAAATACCAAATTTTAACATTAATTAAACCGATGTTTTTTAGGCTGATCGGTTCACCCTTCTATGAAGATTTAATTACAATATCTTTTAAATTAAGATCTGGACAATCCGCTTAGTACTCCCGCTACATATAACATTATCGATTAAAGTACTTTAACAAATTAATTGGATGCAGATAAATTCATTTACATGCGAAAAATTTGTAGGACACTGCCGTACATTAGCTAATTACCAAATATGGTTGTCAGTTTGGTTGCTTGTTTGTTCTTAGGCCTTGTCCCTAACTATTTTCCTGCGATGAATATAGTGTGGTGGTGTTTACCCACAGCCGCAAACAAGCTCAGAATGGAAAAAAAATTTCGTTTGCAAATTAAGTTGACAAAATGCTGGTAGCAACTTTTTTATTTTCTATTATATATATACAATAAATAGGGCAGTCCGAGAGCTAATTTGATAGTTTTTAGGCTACGTGCCCGCTTGCTATCATAATTACCTTTAAATTGGTTAGCAGAGAACTGCTATCTGATATTTATTCTAAAATTCGTCAGTTTTTATTGCGATGTAACTGCGAATGACTGAGCTAATTAGCCAGAAAATTGATTTCATAATTTGGGAACAAACAAAAAGATAACTATTAGCATGTAAAGATAAAAAGTGCTGTCCGCGCATGGGCTTATTCTTGCATTTGTGATGCATCACTTAATTAATATACATTTCGCTGGCATATGCAAATCATTTTTGGGAACCGCTGCAGCTGCCCAACTGAATTGTTTGATAATCTCCGTTTATCGCTGCCATAACATTAGTTTGACTTTCCTGTTTTAATTTTTAGTTGTCAAAATTAGCAAGGCAAATTGTGATATGCCGGGCCAGCAAGTTGTTCTTCATGTTATAGAGTCGCTGCCAATTAACACGTCACGCAAAAATAGAGGACCATTCTAACCTGCACATGTAGAAGACCAAAACTGATTTCGCTTCCGTTTTGTGTTATCCTCTTCACGGAAGCAGTAGTGACCGTATCGTTGCCCCACATAAATTATTGCAAATTGCTTGAATTTAATTGCATGTCTTAGAATGTGTGCTCTTGCTCATTGTTATGCATAATTGATGGGGTGTGGGGACAAGTCTTGCCTGTAGTTTGATGCATTCGCTCTAATTAACAGCTCATCAGCTCGTTTATCCGATGGCCCAACATTCATCCAGTTGATATTCGGCTTGAGAAATGATTCAAATGACGCCGTCTTATGATCTAGTGGTGATGGCTACATCCGAGAGATGACAAATCGCTTGTCGGCTGGATCTCAAGCGGTTCTACTTTATGAATTTCATAACTTCAAAAATACATTCTTAGGGAATTGGAATTTAAGAAAACTAAACTAGATCATCATAATTACTTAGATATAAAGGTCAACGTAGGCAAAAAAAGCAGTGACAAACTTAAAAAGCCATAGGACATTCCTAAATTCCAACTCATAGAGAACATTACAGCCACACAGCAGGCTAGTCAACAGCAATAATTGTTGTTCGTGGAAATTTACAACCGTTTTTCTTTTAATATTACAATGAGTGCCTCAAACTCAGGTTGTGAACAGCGCATCGATACTGAGCGTGTCTACGGTTGGATCTCCGATCTTTGCCTTAAGGAAACTCGTTTTTTGGCAATGTTAGAGCTATGCGAAAGACGCAGCCAAATCGACACTCTGGGTCCATTGCTGTGGCATTCGTTTGGAGCTGTAAGTGGATTGCTGCAAGAAGTAGTGTCAATCTACCCGACAGTTTATCAGGACAGCGAACTGAGCGGCCAGCAGTCGCACCGGATTTGTGCTGCCATCGGGTTGTTTCAGGTAATGGCCTCACATCCCATTATTGGTATTATGCTGATGCGCTGTCAGTTAATGTGCTATTTGATGCCATTGCTTAAAATGACCCAGCAAACTCGGGCCGTTGAGCATGTTCGCCTCTCTGTTCTGGGCGTTATCTGTGGGCTCCTGAAATCGGATCATCCGGAGATCGTTGTTTACTTCCTCGGCACTGAATTAATTCCCCTTATTTTGCGGCAGCTGGAGTTGGGCACCCGCATGAGTAAGGCACTCTGCGCATTCGTGTTGTTCCGCATCTTGGAACATGAAATGGGCTTAAAGTTTGCCAGTCATAGACTGGCCCGTAGACTGCATCTAATCCACACTTTGGCCAGGGTTGTACACCAACTGACGCTGGAACCAGAGCCTAGGGTTCTCAAGCATGTGGTTAGGGTTTATTCCCGTCTGGCCGATCATCCCCAGACTCTAGAGCTGATTCTTAAGCTCTTGCCGGCTCAAATTCGGAACGGATATTTCTGCCAAAAGAGTCTGCCGGGCTATGAGAGCGTCTCAATAGAACTGGATGATCTCAACCGTAAACTGGTCGGCAATGACGGAAAAAAGGAAAAGAGTAAGGGCCTTATAACAACCGCACCATTCATATTTAATCATCTTTACTCTTTAGCTGATGAAGAATAAAAACTTATCATTGGAAATTACTCCTCGGTTACTAAATTACTGACCAACATAAATGCATGGCTAGATACGCGGATACTTTACCTGGCCGAGATGTTTCATTACTATTTCCGCCGTAATATTTCCTTAGAAGGATTAGAATTCGACATTTGGGAGAGTCAAGTTTGCATAATGTAATAAACAGCTCGTAAATATTTTGATACCAATTTCCCATAATAATTGACTCAAAAGTACTTTGAATGTCAAACAATAAAACAATAAATTCAATTACCAACCATGGTCCCAAAAATAAAAGCTTTCCCCATTCTGTACACTGTGCATACTCACACATGGAATTTATTCCCACCCAACCCTGCACGTGTAATGGGTCGGCTTTTGACATGGATACGCCGGAAAATATTCGGATGAACAAAAGGTTGAAGCAAAGGATTGAGTTGGTGCTGTAAACCAAAGCAAGCGGAAAATCAACGCATAAGGCGATAGGCATTTAGAGAAGCAGCACAACGAGAAGGGAAGGAGCAGACTCGGTCCATCAAAAATTTTGAACATAGCTGTAATCAGCTAAGGGTTGATTGCTTGCAACCGCATTAAAAAACTGCATAAGAAAAACAGATCGCAGTTCTAATACTCTGTCAATTTCATGAGCTGCTAAGAGGTTTTAAACAAACGGGAGTGCAGATTGTTACTTATCCTTCATCAATTGTTGGGTGGAAAATATTTCCTCTACTGCATCCAACAAATTCTGACCAAAATTATACTGCCTACCCGGATTTGACAAATGTATCCCAATCAATGAACGTATAAGTATATGTAAATTAATTTAAATTTAAGAAAATACAAACTCAAAATTAAGTTGTTAATTTTCTGGCCATATTTTAAAATCTATATGCATTTAAGCACTAGTGGGAAAAACGAAGTGTATTGCGAAGGCAGAATAAAAATATGTAAAAGGAGTAAAAGGGGCTAAGGGCAACAAAATGACAGTCAAACAATGCGAATCAATTTAAATTTTCATTTCACACACGACGCAGCGGATGGGGATATGCCAGGAAAAGAGGGAAGAAAAACACACAAAATGGGTGAGAAAATCAGTAAAGCAACCGCAATCTCTTACCAGATTGTTTCGAGGGTCGCTCTTGCCTTTTTTCCTTTGCATTGGCTTTGCCGCGCTACTCAATCATAAGTAAATATCTGCCTTACACGTACGCACCTGAAAATAAATATAAAAAAAGAACAATGACAAACGCTGTAGTGTCTCGACTAGCTGTTACCTTTTAATAAAATCGATAGTTAGCAAAAAATAAATTTATTATTTTATAGATATCCATTAAAAAATCGAATTCGACGATTTTGTGGGCGAAGAAGTAGGCGTTGCCATAAGCATAAGTCAAACTTGGTATGCACAGGCAACGGCATACATTATACCTTTACAAGTCTACAAGTAAAAGGTATAATAAATAGATGGAGAGGAAAAGCGAAGCTTTTTATGCCTTCGGGTAAAATATAAACGGAATTTAGAGCGAGCGCTGCAGCGGGAAGAAGACGCGGGTTTGGCAGGCAAGACACGTTCTAATAGATTTCCAGCCTTTCGCCTTTTGACTCCTGGCAGGCCATACAAGTTACACATGTTGCTTTTGTTTGGCTTCCTGTCACACACAAAGATGAAAAGAAGGTCTCCCGTACGTACATACATGCACTTTTAAAAAATTAAATTTTATTTTCAAGATTTTACAATATTGTGTTATTTTTTGTTGCCAGTATTAATTTAAGAATTCATCTTTTCTACCGGAAAACAAATATTTTCTGAGGTACGATGTACCTTCAGCTTTAAACACAAAATGATTATATTCCTGTCTTTTTTCAGTGTTCTGAACTCACTGAAGTCAGCATTTGACAATGCTTTGTAGGCCCATAAGTCCTTTATTCAATTTCTTTCCGCGATAAGCGCGTCACAGTTTTAAAATCCCAAAAAGGATTTTAAATCACAAAAGCGGTATGATTAGGCAGTCGGATATGGCGGCATATGTACATATATGCGCATCAATCTATGCAAATTGCTTGCAATTGACTGGCAAGCAAATCCGAAAATTATGCCATCGGCGCTTCACGGACAACAATGAGCGATGAGCAGAGCCTTCGTCTGGCAACCGTAATCGCAATCGAATCTGCTGCAACTGACAGAAGGTAAACTCGCTAAGATAGCCAGCGGGAGGTAAAAGGTACGAGGGGCAGAAAGAGAGCCTGGGCCGGAAGCTGGCACACAACTAATTGGACATCCGTTGGCCCCGTCGATTATCGCCTTTGAACCAGGACAAGGACAAGGTAATGGTAACTTAAGAATTCTTTCCTGCTGCCACGTTTTCCCCCACTGTTCCGTAACAAGTTTGCCCCAACGTTATTAGAAGCAGATTGAGTTAAAGGACTGGGAGGAACGGGAAAAGTAGCTAAAAGGTCGCCATGACTTCCAATTGACGGCGAGTCGCTCTATTTCGATGCCAGCGCCATATCCGTTAGGACACAATGAACCTGGATCGCTCGAATTGCTGGTGTCGTTTGGCTTGATTTAATTGCAGCCGATTACCCAGCTGGAGACCTCAGACAAGGCTGCCAACTGGGCAGCGTCATTAGATCGATCCATGACCGTGCCACGACCTGCAAGGACAATCGCTTATCAAAGGAGGGTTGGCATTGTTTTTTAACAAAAAATGTTAGTCCTCTTGTTAAAAAGAATCTACGTTTAAAGCACATGAGCTGAAGTTTTATATTCCCGGATTAACAGAGTTCACAACAAAGCTACTAAAAGATCAATGGGCTTGCCAAGGCTTTCATGTTGAAAGTTTTGCGATGGCAACCACTTCAAAAGCAGTCTTTCAAGTGGTGCAGCGCTCCTTATTTGACACCTGGCTGTGGCTCACTGCCCACCTCTTTTGGTGGTTCATTAGCCACCCGCATATTCTTGGTGACCTGCTTTATGTTCGCCACTCTTAAGCTAAATTAAGTTTTGATAATTCCAAATAATCTATTCAAGCAAGTTTTCAAAAATGATTGTTCACTTGGCTGTTGGTCTGAGTGGCTTCAATAGGTCCATTTGTTGTTGTTGGCGCAAGGAATAAGGGTCCAGAGGTAAGCTTTTGTTGCTCTCCAAGACTCCTTCCCTTTAGAACGAATTGAATTTTGAAATTTTCTTAGATTTGTTAGATAGCAGACGACTTATTAGGTCGGAATACAAAAAACCACACACAAAAGTTTTGTGGTGACGCTGGTGGTATACACTCCTAAAAATGTTTATTCTCAGATATATCTACATATATTTATTTCAGATATAGGGCACAGTAGTGCTTTGTTATCTACCATTATGTTTATCAAAAGTCATAAGGGTAAAACGAAACTCGGAAGAAATTGTTAAATTTACAAATATACTTCTGAAACTCCATCTCGCAGTGTAATGGTTTTGAAAAACTTTTCTGCCAACAACTATTGTTGAAAAGTTTTCAATTGAGAATATTAATTTAGCCAATACACGTGGGCGAGGGAGCAGAAAGGAAAGCAAAACAAACGGTAAAAGTTTTGTGGTTACACAGCCCGAAACCAAGACTAAGAGAGCAGAGACCCTGTACAGGCAAACCAGGTATGGTTCGTTCTCGAGGATGTTCATCCTCGACTTCAGGGCGACACGTTGCGGGCATAATATGGTTTTTGTGGCGCACTTTCTATTAGGCAAACGGAAGTATAATCAAAAACACTCGCCTCACCCACTTTCCGCATACAGCATGAATATTCCACTACCGGAGAAAACCACTCAGTATAGCATACGCACTTCGCCAATTAGTCCTGTGTCCAACAAAGTTGGATGTAGGCACAGTTTTATTGAAGTGCACAAAAGTAAAATCTTATTAAAAATGTGCTACCAATAAGTTACGCTGTGTAAATCAATATAATATATATATAGATCAAAAAGTATTGACAAAATAAGTATATCTAATTCAAAAAAATATAATCTCAAAAAATTTATCAGAAACATATTTTAAAAAAAGTAGATGTACTCTTAACATTGTTTGAAAAGTTTCTGTAACTACCTATACAAACAATGAAACATACAGACTTTGCAATATCGACTTGGCATAAAATACTGATTAAGAATACCTTCCATTAATTAGCTTCTGTATATATGAAAACTTATGCAACGGCATACAAAAAACTGTCAAGTTTCTGTTCTTTACCATAGAACAGATGTGAAATACGGGTCTTTTTAAGCCGCTGGGCACATGGCGCAGTATCCAAACCCGTGTTCACCTGCGGGGAATTAACATGGAAGGCTGAACCCCACCCAAAAACACATAGACTCAGAGAGTGGGGGTGGGTCAGGTTATGAACATTGCGCTCATCATCTGGCCGCCGGCTACACAGGCGAATGGCAATCGGGAGCTGTTCCAGTACCCATCTCACCACCACCCACGCCCCTGGAGTTATGTCCGAAAAATGTTTTCTCCGGCATTGGCATGGAGAAATGGCATCATGGTGTGGTAGTCATTGTGAGTTCGGAATGCTGTGCTACACTCAAGGTCCATTCAATCACAAAAGCACTGACAAAAAAAAACAAATAGCAAAAACTAAGATGAACAATGAAACAATGACTTTCGGTGCTACAATAGTTTTTTGTGTCCTCTGAAATGTAGAAAATAAAACTTGAAGAAAGCCGAAAAGCTTCCAAATTTTCCGGGGTACTAGACTTCCCATTCTTCTCAAGAATACCATCCTTTGTCCTCCTATTAGAAAAATAGGCATATGTAAACATATTTCTCCAGTGTAAGCCATCATCGTATTCAATCATGGACGAGGGCGAACCAAAGGAAGTTAGAAGCCTGGAACCAGAGGTACAAACGGAAACTAAGCCGACGCAGGACCTGAGCCTGGAAGTGAAACTGTACAAAGACGCCCAGCAGTAACAACTGTCCAATTCAGAAGCTGCTCGGCTCACATTTGCTTTGTTTCATGCAAGGTACACATATTCGTTACCTATGTGGGTGCGGAAGCTTCTTTCCGGTTGACCATTCCATGCAATGTGAGAAAAAAGATGACTCTACCCCGAAGTACAGTTCTGCATTTCAAGTGAAATGTCCAAAACCAAACTCAGAAAATCTGACATCTACAACACATCTTTTTAACTAAATTAACTTGGTTAATTCTATTATTAAACGAAAGCAAGTTTAAGGTTTTTACACCTAGGAAATTTGTAGGGAAGTATAATTAAAACGGTGAGTCTTTATCCATATCAGAGTACTCAGGAAATAATAATAAAAATTTTAAGTACTACATTCTTTGGCAGCAAAAAGCTTTCTTACTATATTCCGACATATTCACAGTTAAATCGAAGACTACTTGACTACTAACGTTGCGATCGTTTCCTCCTTTCAGCTTGATTTCAAGCAATATACATCTACATATGTATACATGGTGTGGAACTGAACAGCTGTAGAGAATAACCAAAATGTTTTTATCATAGGTTTTAAAACAAAAAAAGGCGGTTCAATTAAATATACATACTTAAGGGGTCAGGGTGGTCTGCCGGAAGTTAAATTTAAAGCCTGAATACGCTAATAAGGAGCGGGAGAATTCAAATAGTATTGTCGCTCGGGAGCCATAAATCTCAATTGAAATTCAACCCACTTTCTTAATAAGGGAAGGGGCAAAGGCCAAGAATCGGTCCTTAAATCCGAAGACCACAACTCCTTCTGTTCCCCAGTTTGATTTGAGTGAGCTTGACCCTGTAGTTTCTGTTGCTCTTCTTGTAATCCGCTTAAGTAACTCAACGAGAACGGAAGCCGGAAATGAAAACCATATAGTATATAAAGCGGCGGAGGTGGAAAGGTGAGGTCGTCGCAAAAGACAGTAGCAACTCCGGGACGGAGATGGCCTGAAATGCTTTGTGTTGGTTGAGGTCAGGCGAGCAGCTTCCGCTGCGTGTATACTTGTTCCTGATTTTGCACTGAAAAAAAAGATAGCGCCAATCGAAACGTTTACACTAGAAATTTAAGTTCCTAACTGTATTAAATATTTTATATAATATATTATATAAAACAAAGATTATTTTTCGTAAGAAGTTAATTGCAATTTTTAAATAAGTAAGAATGCATCTATTTATTTTAGCTCAGAACATTTACCAAGTAAAATTAGTCAAAAACACCATCAACCTTTTTTTCCCGATTGCTGTGAATGTTGAGTCCTGAAAGAAAGGAGTCGAGAAGGAGTCACGGCTTTTAAGTCGCACCGGAAATGAATAGCTGTTGCGAGGTTCAGCTTCAGTTTCCTTGGATCCCTTTTTGCTTGACTTACTGACAAGACCACAGCGCATTCTTTCAAAAATTGGAAATGGCTTTCCACGTTGCGGTTTTCCGTAAAACACTTACCACGTCTGACCATTTATCCCGAAAGCCGCTTCTGTCCTATAAGCCGCAGAGATGGTTAAAAATCGTTTTTTGTTAAGTCAAGAGTGAAAATGATAACATTTAGTTTAAAAAAGGTCTTAAACGATTTTTCTCTGCTTAAATCGACAAAATCAAGCCACTTTCCAAAGCTACAAGTTTATAATACTTTGTCCTTTTTATTGTTGCATAATTATTCAGTAGTTCACATTAACATTATACCGTTCATGCAAATACAGAAACAATATTATTTAGGTGTTTTTTTCTTACAACTTGAAATAACTTCTCTTTCCAACGCTTAGACAAATTTGTAAAAAATAATTTAATAGTTAGTTTTTAAACGGTGCAACATTATTCGCATTAAAAAATAAAAATTAAACTAAATAGTATATTTGCAATTGCGTTTCTGTATTTCTTCATAATTTTGATATATGTAGAGTATGTATATTTCGATTGGCACGTTGGAGGGAAAATGGGGTTATCATAACTCGGAAATTGAACTAATAAAATATTATAATATATACTTGATAGGGCATTCACCTAACAAGTGTCATTGTCGTATGTACAATGCATGTATTTATTATATTAAAGCTATTTAAGCATAGTGTTTCGCAGACACTCACACTTTCTGCCCCATTTTCTCGGCTCCAACGTACCAGACAACAATTTAAGTTTTTCTTCTTTTCCATCTTGCCTTTATCTTTATTTTATAACATCAAACAAACAACATTCAATCCTCCACATTCCTTATTCTTGTTTGGTTAGCCATAGGTAGGTAGTCATAGATTTCTTATTCCGTTTGGTGCGCTCGCTATAAACGTGGGCTGCGGTGGCTAATTTTCTAACTGCTAGTTGTATACATACATTAGAATTACATATTTATCAAATTTTAAGCATCTCGATCCCAGACAAAAACGTATTTCAAAAAATAAACGTGAATTTTCTGAATCTTTCAAGTGCTCTCTACAAAACTTTCCCTCCTTTAACTTGATATTCAATATTATAAATATGTATGCTATTTTTAAAAAGGTTTTATAAAAATCATTACAAAAAAATGTGTTTAAATTAAGCATAGTATTTTCATTTATTAAATACACCAGTTTACATAATAGAAGTAGTATGACCAGTTCAAAAATAGACATTGCAGTTGGACCCTTTGAACACGTTGATTACAAACATCATACAAATAGCCTATGAAATTATTTATGAAAGCTGTGACTATATTTGTTATATTTTATTTTTTCTTTAATATTTCTAAGTCTATTTTTAAACAAAGTGGGACAGCAGTGTGCCGAAGGGAGTTCAGAACAACAGAACTTTTAGTATAAATTAAGAGTTGATAAATAAATCCGTACAAAACGAATCGATGCCTGCAAGCGGTTTTCAGGCCATATAAATTCACAGCACTCTTTTAGGCAATTCAAAAAATGTAAGCCAGTATGAAGTGTTGGGTAATTTAAGAGTTGTCTGCCTTGGTGAAATAACTACTGTATTCACAACTATTGTTCTTTGCTAATAAACATTTCCCCGACTAATTTGAATTTTTTAAAGAAACATACAATTGTATCCTTTGATAAGCTTTTCAAAATAATGATGTAATTCTTATGTTCATTTGGTTCAACTACAAAAATTGTCTCGACGTAAAAGTGTACGGAATTAATAGAATTTTTGCGATTTAAATGCTTTACACTTGTCATAATATTCACATTATTTTATCTAAGTAATACTCCTATCTGGTCACATATAAATATACATTTATAAATTTTAATTGATTGGATATATAAAAATTCATTTTTGCATATTGTATCCATTTAACCAGTTTGTAATGCACGTTTATATAATTTACGTCCTTTATTTAATTTTTTTTGTTTATTTCACTTGATAAAAACATTCTAGCAAACCTATTTGTCGATTTAATGGTTTACATATGCGTTACAAAATTTCAATTTAAAATATGCAAATTTTTCGACAATGTCAACATGGTTTCAATGTTTTCATGCATAAGTTCCTGTTCTTTGCAGCGACGGGGCACTAAAATGGGTTTACAGCTTATCTTTGCGTTTAAAAGCCTACACTTACAATACATTAAGAATTTATTTATTACAGGAACCCAATTTTTTCAACTCTATTTCATGGTTTGTTTTTCATTGGAAATGTGATCAAATTTTAAATTTGTATCTCTAAAGTAATTACACGTAATTCTTTATCGAGTTCGATTTTTCGTTGACGAATTTCGATTCGGACAGTGCCAATTATAGTAAGATCAATGATCGGATTTTGCGTCCAAAATAGAGTTTCATTAAATAAAAAATGTCTCACAAATATTTGTTTCTCCACTAAATCAAAGTGTAATTTAGGCATTTTGAATGCCTCTTAAGGGGAATAGCAATTCAGTAAATTTGATTTGTTTTTTTTAATAGAGGCCATTTAACACTTGATTTATTTTATAGTTCTGTAAATAAAGAAAAATTGGGTTAATTCTTAAAATGTGTCTGTGACACCAATCTTTCTTGTCCACGGTGTTATGGGTGCTGTATTTACATTTCATAAATATATTTTAAGCCCTTTAAGTTATGCAGCATTGCTCGCAGTTAGATGATCAGTTTGATTTTGCCCCTTTTATTTTGTATTACATTAATTACATTCCTCTATTCATGTTGGCATTTATGTTTTAGAGTTTCCTAAGAGCATAACATAACAGCAAGGAAAAACTAAGGCTTTTAAAATGTTGCAACTATGTCGCAATGACGAGAAGGCAAAATACTTCATCTGATTATTGATTTATATAATATCGAATTCGATTTATAAGAAATAATAAAGCAACAAAAAATACATTTCAAATAAAACATTTCATTTTGTACATTCTTTTAACTGTTGCAGGTGTGGCCGAATACATGGCGTGTGTGGTGTCCTTGTGCATGTGTATATTGTGTAGATTAGGTTTGTTGATTTGTTAAACAATTTCACATTTTAAAATTCGTACACTTTCAGCTTAAACCCTATAGATACTAGAACGTATGGCCTACACATATCAAATAGCTTACATCAAACTATTTACCGTGGCTATTGGTATAAAACTTTACATTTAGCGGCTGTGCAATTTGTTTCTACCTTTTCATATTATACAAATGCTGAAAATTATGTTTAGGATGTTTGACAAATGAAAAATCAAGAATTGGAGGATTTCTTTTAGGCCTCCGTTTCGGCGCCTTTTAGACGCAGGCGGGCAAAGTCCTCGAAAATTATATCATCATCCTGTGCCTCGTCGTCATCTAACTGGATGAGATTGGTCGTGGTTGGCACGTCCTGACCCCCAGCCGCCGATCCTATCTCTCCATCACCCAGGCTCACTAGCGGCTGACCACCTCCGACCAGACTAGCACGTGGCGAGCGTTCGCCCATCAACGGATGTTCCTCCTCCTCGGGTTTGGGGTGCATTAATGTAAACGGCAGCTCAGCCACGAGATCACCATTTAACAGAGGCGAACTAATCAGCAACTTTACTTTCACCTTATAGTGCACCATAATACCGAGATTCTCTCGCTGCGCAGGATTGGTAATGAGCGTGCTGGAAGCCAAATTGGTATCCTCATGCTTTAGTTGCCCGTCCAAAGCTAGGCCCCATTTATCCTTATTATTCGCCAGAAGTGGGCATAACTCGAACACCTTAGACAAGGTGAACCCCGGCGCCACTTGGCACCCATCCTCCGATTCAATCTCGGCCACCACAGACTTATATTGGGCCGTAGAAAAAAGGCAAATATCCGCAAACTGCCGGACACATACCTTGATCTTCTTTACCGTCCGATTTGAATTGTTGGCCACGTGAACGTTGACCGATATTTTCTCGCCGTGATGGTACAACTCCTTGTCCAAACTAGCTTCCAGATGGATCTTATTCGGCTTCATCATAAACTCCTTGCTAACTTCGATCGATGGCTGCTCACCAACTTTGGATGGGGCGTACATAACCTTGCGAATAGTCAGACGAACTGAGTTTCGCTTGTGGGGCTTGTCTTCTACATTTTCACCTATTAAGAATAAACATTGTAAGTAATGAATTCGAAACACGGTTTGGGAAGAAATCTCATAAAGTATGCATATTTCGGGCGGTTATCTGTAAAAACACTTTCATTCGGAAGATCATAAACTGCCCTGCGTCCAGATCAGCTCCATAAGCAATTGTTTATCTCAAAAATATATGTAGACGCGAAGAAATAAAATATACAATTCAGCAGGCGCCAAGTAAATAAAAACTCTGGGCAAATAGTCATGGGGGAAGAGAAATGAGCTGCTGAGAAATTGTTTCTAAGAAAAATTCCACAATTCTCTCGACATCTATGAATCTTGTTTTTGGGTTATACTGATTCATAAGAGCTCTTGATTATGAAATATATTAAGAAAATACATTTTTGTGTTTCCGAAAATGGTACAAAAAATAACTATATAATTTATGTATAAACGCAATAATTCAGTTCATTAACGAATATAAAAAAGGGTGGTTTTATTAACCAATGTTGACCATCATTTAACAATGTAGAACTACAGTAGCAAAATCCTTTAGATATAGGAAATCTCACCCGGGCGAAGATTGAATCCGTTGCTACTTCATTATTTTTTATTATCGTACGCATGTGGGCCCCAAGATAAGAACGAAATTCCAACAGAAGCCATAAAAACACCAAAAATATATGTATGAAAAAAGCAAGGCAAACGAAAGAGATAACATTATTAACTCAATGGAATAGAAGTGGGCGTATTTAGGGGGAGGACTACCAACAGTTAATTAGCGATTAAAAATGAGAAAGAAGTTCGCAAATATTCACAGGTAATCTTGTAAAGACAAAACGAACTAATTCGCAATACAGCACCTTAGCGAAAATAGATTTCTCAAAAGTTTTGGAATATTATATGCAGCGTTCTCATTTTGGCGAAGACTTCTTTAAAAAGGAATATTATGGCGCCCAATTGATGAAAGCTACCACAATAGTTGTAATACAAGTACTGTTGAGTCAGTTTTTAATTAGAATCGTCGAATTTCAATTAGTTGGGACGCTGCGTCACCAAGCCCAATGCCATTTTGCGCAGCCCGACGTATATACTTGGATTAATTAACCCCGTGTTCCCGCGTGACACATGAGCTAAATTAGACAAAATATTACATACATATAACCAATTTAAGTCTAGTCTAGTCTAGTTCATTGGGCTTCTGATGATACTAACTAATAGTAGAGCTATTCGTTTTTACGAGGGATATTTTTGTAATTGATTCTTTTGACGCCACACAAAAATATATTCTTTTGGAAGTGTAGTCCACGTAAACTAAAACCTTCTACTGTACATATTTACATATGTATATATATGCGCCTCGGAATGTAGAAATACGTACATATACTGAATGCCTGTATTGACTGTTGCAATTGCTCATCAATGATTTTGACTTTGTCTGACCGCCGTACATGGACACACCCATAAGACTAAACCTGGACTCACCCACAAAGGCCTTTAGCTCATAATCCACTCCGCAGGATTTGCCCACATCCCCAGGGGCCGGTTGCAAGGATACTGAGGCGGGGCAGTAAGGCGGCACTTCGAAGTAAAAGGGATGGGCGTTGGGTCCTAGCTTTTTGATCAGCCTTTCCTGCAGACGGGTCATTGGACGGTCCAACTGCATGGGCGGGTATATCTGCTCATGCGCCAGATACAAGTCCTTGCGAAACGTCAATCCTAGGACATCCAGGTCCTCGCGTCCATAACGAAAAGCGGCCAGAACCTGACCAAATACCTTGCGGTCCTTCACATACTCGGGATCAATGAAGACAACGCCATCAATGGGATCCACATGTGTGACATGGTCTACAAAATCCCGTTTACCAAGGTAAACCGTGATCTTCCCGTTGGAGGAGCTCTTCTTAAAGACTCGCGTCGCCTGGCGTCGGGAGCTGGCGTCCCCGCCAGCCTCGTCGCCAACTACCCCGCCTCCGGATCCGCCTCCCGTGCTCCCGGCAGCTGTCACATTTGTGCTGGAGTTAGTGCTCCCGGGTGCTCCTCCGTTTGACCCACCTCCCCCGTTCATCGTACTTTATGGCGATTGTATTGCGACTGCTGCTATGCTGATTTTCCTTATTAAATTGTGTTCCACACACACGCCTCTTTTTATTTCGGTACTCGGCTCCCCTTGTACTCCCCTTAGTAAATATATGTGTGCGTTTAGTTGCGGGTGCTGTGCTGCAATTTAATTTTTTATGTGTATACTTATTCCACCATTTACCAACACTTCCTACTGGACAAAATAAAATACCAAGTCATGTTAAATACTGGTATTCTGGTATTTTTATTAGGAAGTATTTTTTGTGCGTTTGCCAGTAATGAAACATCTACTTTCACGCTCAGAGCGCCGACATTTGGGCAACAAGTTAATATTGTATATATGTTTTCCTTTTGTCAATAACAGTAACAAGCGATTAAAGAGCAACACATTTAATAATCCCTTCTATTTAGCATTTATTTTGTGTTACTTAATATGAGAATATTTAGTTAAGTATTAAAATAATAGACAAATTCCACTAGCACATATTAATCACCAAGTTGAAAAAGGGTTATATATATTAAAAAAAAAAAAAAAAAAACTAAATACAATCAATAGTTTACATTATTCCGACTTCACATATATGTCAGTCAAATGTTAATGGAATTTGACTATTAATTCCGATGTTCTCTAAAAAATCGATTAAATCGTTCCTAACATCGATTTATTTTAGATTTAGTGTTTAGTTCACTAAGGTCACACTGTCCTTTTCTCCCTTTTCCACGTGCGTTTCATTTAACAAAACCACGCGTTGTTCAGTCTGTACCTGACTTTGTTTCGTTTTTGCCACCAAGACGTATTAACCTGCTAAAATGGCCCAAAAAAAAGCTGTAGCCGCTAAGAACAAGAAGGTCACGAACGGCGTAGTCAAGCATCCTGTCAAGCGGGGAGTAAATGCGCTAAAGGTACAGGAAGAGGAGAAACAGATCGCAGCTACCCAGTCGCCCTCCAAAAAGACCAGGAAGCAACCAGTGAAGGAAGTTCCACCGTCTAGCGAGGAAGAGTCCGACGCTGAGGAGCAGATCGACGATCAGGTTGAGGATGATAGCGACTCCGAGGTAAGCAACAGAAAAACGTGGTTTATTTCCGCCAGTGATGGCTCTACATGCCGATACAAGTTGAACTACACGTAAATATATGTGTACATATGAACATTTTTCGGTAAACTATATGGGTAGTTAAACTAATTATTTTAAATATATGCCTTTATTCCTTTACTGCTTATTAAAGATTCCACTATACCACGTGTTTTTGAGATACAAAGACATATTTTGTTTACAATAATATAAAAACGATACATATTCCAGGCAGAAGACGCAGCTGATTTAATTGATGATGAGGCTGAGGAAGATGAAGATGAGAATAGTGACGAAGAGGAAGATGATGATGACGAGAAGGTGGAGCTAGGAGAGGTTTCAAAGACATCAGACGCGGGGGAGGAAGAAGACTCCGACGATGACGATGAAGCGCCTGTAGAGGAGCCTGTTTCCAAGAAAGGCAAGGAAAGTAAGAAACCCGGGGAATCCAACTCTGAAGGATTAAAAGAAAAGAGCGGAATTCCTAAAGTCTCCGTTGGTAGGATTCCCATAGGAACGCCAAAAAATCAGATCGTCTATGCCGCGAACTTACCAAATGGTAATTTATTTTTTTGTTATTTAATCTTAACTTTTGTTGATACAAAATATATGAATTTATTTTATTACCAGAATACAAACACAAGGATGTGGTCACCCTTTTCGCCAAGTTCGGACCGATCTATGCAGTGCACCGTATCACTAATAAGTTGGGTTCCAATTCAGTCATTGTGGCCTTTGATACGCCGGCTGGAGCAGAAGCCGCTTTGCAAGCCAAGCCTAAGGCGCTGACTCTTGGAGAAAATGTTTTGACCGTATCTCAGGCGAAGGACAAGGAAGCTTTAAATGATCGCACAGTTGTGGTTGCCCTGTTTGGACCAAATGTCACCAAAGAGGATATCAAGAGCTTTGTCGAGAAAGTAGCTCCCGTGGAGGATGTAACTTTAACTGCTAACCGCCTTATCCCCAGAGCATTTGTACGTTTGGAGTCAGTAGATGATATTCCCAAAGTCCTAAAACTGCACAGCACCGAGCTCTTTTCTCGCTTTATTACGGTGCGACCTGTTTCGTTCAAGGCGCTGTCAAAGTCCAGTGAACTTACCCTGGTCGTCGAAAATGTAGGCAAGCACGAGTCTTACAGCTGCGATGCCTTGGAGAAGATATTCAAAAAATGTGGCGAATTGGACTATGTTGACGTTGTGTGCAGCAAGACAGTTTTAGCATTCGTCACATTCAAGCAGCCTGAAGGAGCTACAAAGGCTATTGCACAACTCCAAGGAAAGACTGTTAACAATGTGGAGCTAAAGCTGAAGCCCTATCATGTCAGTAGTTCGGGGAGGGCTATTCTAGTGACAAACTTGACATCAGGTGGGTTGCATATTCTAGATAAACATTTTGTTCTATTATACAAATAATTTTATTTTGCTTGTAGATACTACTGAAGCTGACCTCAGGCAACTGTTTACCAAGAGCGGCGAAATCGAGAGTATCCAGATGTTGGGCATTAAGGCCGTAATAAAGTTCACAACTGATGAAGGCTTCTGTAAATCATTCTTGGCCAACGAAACTATCGTCAACCGCGTACCTATTTTTATCGAGCCCAACTCTCTGCTGAAGCACAGATTAATGAAAAGACGCACTGCAAAAAGCCACGCCCCCGGAAAGTTCCAGAAGAACAAATTTGGCCAAAAACCTTTTAATAAGCGTCCGTCACATGAAAATGGGGGCAATCCGTTTATAAAAAGGGCAAAGTTTTAGAGCTGAAAACCTTAAAAGATTTAGTCTTAAGATTTGCAGTACCATAAATTTGGTTACAATCATTTACTCCATGCCGCCAGATGCCATGGATTTAGTCGATAAGATCTACTCCCACAAATTTGGTCTGGAAAAATTCCAGTCGTATTTTAAAGAGATGTTGACTATAATAAACATCAAACTTAAAACTAAATAAAAAGAGCCTAAACTAAACATTGAAAATCGTTGCTGCTGTTTATTGACCTTAAATCTGACTGGCCTTTAGACTGCTGTCATACGGGCCAGACAAGTTTACAAAGACAGTCAAGAAACATATGTTTTTAAACATATTTGACAAATCCTATTTTTGTTTAACACTATTCTATTTTATAGTTTAAAATATTGTTTTTAATTTCCTTCTTTATTACAGAAATGAAATTGTTATAAATAGAGCACTCACTGAAAAAAAAATGAACTTTAGGATTGCGACTGCACCTAAAATTAAGAAAACAAGATATTTTTGTAATCCGATCCCCTAAATAAAATCACCTTATTTTAAATTCATTATGAAATTGATTTTTGTATTTAACATTCATTAGTTATACACTTCTTGTAGTATTTTTCCCTAATTTTTTTTTGATGCGTGATATTAGTTTATCGTTTGGTATAGATAGATATTTATTGTTTATATAAAATTTGTTTTTGTATATTTGTTATAGAAGTCATTTTGGTTAGTACAATTAGGTTCAGTAATTGTTTTAAAGAGTCGTGTGTATATTTAAATATTGTTCCCTTGACTAAATGCAACGGGAAGTAAGTATTCGCCAGCAGATCCATAGGCCCTAAGGCAGTGTAGGTTTTAAATCGCCTATCAGTCTGTTCATAATAATGATTGGGATCGAGTTGTGAATTTGGCAATTCATGTAAACTAATCGTGGTCGAGAAGTTTTCTGTCCCTTCCCATGGCTGCTGTTTTGTTTTTGTTGGCTACATCTAGTCTTAATGTCTCATGTTGCTTTCGACGTAATAACTTAGTTATAAAACGTAATTATCATAATTTAGCTTAGATAGAAAATCACTTATAATAAGGCAAATTAATCTGAAGGGCACTGAGGCGGGTGGTTAGCAAAACAATAATGCAAATCAATCAACTTTCTAAACTAGACAAGTACATCAGTAAGACGTGTACTCTGGGACTGATGTACATATTTATACGGTTTATACATAAAAGACATATTCAGCAATTGAACCTTTATGTGCAAATCCTTTCCTTTCGTGTCGCAGTCATTTTACACAATATTATAATCGTCAAATTACACAATATTATAGTCGTCAAATCAATATATGAAATAATACGAAAATTAAAGAATAATAAAACAACTGAAAAGTATCTTTTGTTTTTAATGTTTTTTTGTTCATTTTGTTTTAATTGGTAATATCGTTTTAACCATACATATGAGTAGTGGGGTGCTGGAGTTACATTCAATGTTAATGCATTTTAAGTCTGTTTTTTCTATTCCTGCAAATTTAACAAATTAAAACATGGTCGTACAGTATGATCCTGTTTCCAATAAGTATGATGACTTTTTTGACAAATTAAAAAATGTTTAAATTGTATTCCTCAAATTAAAGTATAACACTGGGTTTTTTAAACTAATAAATTTAGTGCTGGGATTCATATATTTTTTAAACTCAATTATAATGTTTTCAGCATTGTTCAAAAATAAAACTTGTATAACACAAGTTAATTGTCTGAGCTTTAAATCTGAAAGAGTGCGGTGCTGGTAAGACAATTAAAACACATAAATTCTTAATTATTTTTTTAGATTATTACTTTTTAGTGGTTAACAGTCTACGTTTTCATCTGCTCAAATTACGTTACGTTTTGTTGGATTAGTTTCGTTCGAGTTTTTAATTCGTTTTCAATTTTCAGTATATACGTGTTAGTATGCTCACTAAAAGCTACAGTTAAACTTGGACTTTAATTCCTCTTCTGTTTCTTGCTACACGCAAACTATTTAATTTGGATACTTTTTTGGGTTACGTTTTTTAACCATTTCTTAATTGTTTTCAATCGTGTTAAATGACAATGGTAATTTCTTGAGTTCTTCAACACCGCTTTTGTCCATGGGTTGAAAAAGTTGTATAAAATTTCTTTTAGCACATGAGCAAGAACTAACAGAGGGTGAGGAACAATTAATAAATAAAACATCTTAAATCTTAAATAAAACGGAGCACTTGGTGATATTGATCTTTCGTTTTCTTCACAAATTAGCACAAACAATATTTTGCTCTGACGCCATTTCAATAAAATACATTATTAGACAGTAATACAAGGCAAAAAATCAAAGACGTAGTCGAATATAAATAAATTCAATGAGTAGTAATTCATAATTTTGTTAGCAGTATACTGATTCAATCTTTCCTTTATGATTTATTTGATCGCAACTCCTTTTTCTGTTCGCGCTAAATACTTTTGCTTAATATGATTTATAATATTGGTAAAGTAGTTTTAGCTCTGTGCCTTGGAATCTGAGATGTACTTTAAATATCCAATAGGGCCGCTTCACCATTTTGGGGAGGGTCAACTTGATCCTGAAACTGTTGTTCGTGAATCGGCTGGACCACCTCCACATCGTAAAGCCCGTTTCCATTGTGCTTTCCGGCATCCTCCGCGTTAATCCGACCATTGTTCGTTGAAGTAGTTTCGATTCGAGGTGTTGTTCCTGCTTCCTTGCTTAAAGTGGATCCCTTTAGGGGTGTAGATTTTCGTGCTTTTAAGCCAGCTGGCGATGGTTTGGTTGTTGCGGTTTCTTTGGGTTTCGGTGTCAGCGGTTTAAAGGCTGCTTTGACTGGCGATGCCTTTGAAGGCGATGACTTCCTTATATTCGTTGTGGTTGTTGCAGATGAGTTACTAGGAACTAGCTGCCGTCGAGTTGTGCTCCCATTGCTAATAGTTGAGTTTACCGAGTGGGTAAACTTTGGAGCCGGGCGTGCTGTGAATGTCTTTGTGATCGTTGTGGTTGTAGTGGTGGTATTGGCAGAGTTGGAGACGGTGCTCTTGCCCACTCCATTGGCTGTCGGCTTCGTAGGACTGCGAGATGAAATAGAAGTGGTATTTGTGCTTGGCACCTTGCGCACACTGGTAGTGGAAGTTGTGCTGCGCGGCGATAATGCTTTTGGCTTGGCTGGGGCCGTCGCAGTGACCGCCAGACGTGCCTTGTTCGAAGCAGCGCTGCTAGGAGCCGATCCCGTTCCGGATGTATTTGGTACCGGTCTGCGAGCTGATGAGCTAACTCCAGTCCCTGATCCTACCCCACTTGTAGCTGGCTTGCGAGCTGTGGTACTAGCCAAAGGACGAGCGGATGCTCGGGTTCCAGATGCAGTTCCCAATGCAGTTCCACTTGCAGTCGGCTTACTAGCTACGGCCTTGGCCCCCGATGACGTCTTGCTTACAGGAGCTGTGACTGCTCGTGTGCTGCTTAACTTGGGGGCAGGTTTCGCTGCAGATGCTGCATTGCTGCTTAGAATTTTCCGAGTGGTTGCTGTTGGCTGCGTTGAATTCGAAGGTTTAGTGGCTGTACTTGTGGCTTTGTTTGCAACGGGAGCGGTGCGTGGGCGACCAGCAGTCGAGCTAACAGTGGTCGTTTTATTTGCAGAGGCTACTGGTTTAGGTCTAGCACCTCCGGCAATAGCACCTGCTTTAGCCGCTGAGTTGGATTTGGATGCGATAACCACAGGTGCAGCAACAGAAAGTACTTCGGCAACAGGAACCAAAGAATCATCTTCTTTTTTTGTTTCTGGAACAGCATTTACCAATGGCTCTACGATCTGAGAAATAATTAATTTCTGTGTAGCAACATTTAATGTCTCCTCTACATCATCAGACATGAGTGACTCCCCTGGAGCATCAGACATGAGTGGCTCCCCTGGAGCATCAGACTGGAGTTGCTCCGATAAAGCAGCAGACATCACTTGTTCCTCTGGAGCAGTAAAAATCACTTGCTCCTCTGGAGCAGTAAAAATCACTTGCTCCTCTGGAGCAGTAAAAATCACTTGCTCCTCTGAAGAACCAGGTTGCTCATTTAAGGGAACAAAGTCTTTCGTTTCAGTGGCAACGTCTTCCCGGGAAACAAAGTCTCCGATAGTATGCACCACTTCATTCTTTGGAACAGAAATATGTTCCTCCTCGGAAACAAAATTTTTAAGAGAAATTTCATCATTCTTTTGCTCCTTATCACCTAAAGCGAAGTGCTCGGAGGACGCATTAGGCTTGCCAAAGTACTGATCCACATCTAGTTCCTCGTGCAACTCCAGTTCATCAAGGCTGGCGGCCAGTGCTTCCTGATGTATAGGTGTAGACTCCTCTTCCACATGCTTCTCCGCCAGGTGTGCTGGCGTGAAAGGCTGGGCAAAAGGATTAATACCTTGTGGTACAGGCGATATTTCTTGATTTTGAGCTTCAGAGCCGGAAGCTACATTTAAAGCAGCGTACTCTTCCATCTGAAAAACAAAGTAATTGTGTAGGATTAATAACTTCTGATAAATCAATAAGTGGAAAGAGCAATGACACGTTAACATCATATAGTACATTGGAAACAGTTCCTAAATTAAGGGGTTGATGGATCATACTGTCTCAAAAGAGCCTGTGATCCTAAAATTGTATGGTACCGGAAACGCTTTCTTCACCCTTTTTACATTGATTCCAATTGGTAAATTATATATTTGTACTCTATAAGAGCTTTAAATCTGATCGTGAACATTAAGGGAAAACTATTTGGAGTGTTGCTAACATGCTGCCTTCTGCTTCAAAAATGTAAGATTACTCACTCAGACATCGTCTACGCTTTATTGCGTTGGTTGACACGCACATTCACACACACTTATTACTTAACAAAAAATGTATTGCAATGACATCAGCGCACCAGCGAAAGCTTAACTCGTGAAAGTGAGATAGCAATAAGTAGCAAGACAGCAGAAGCAAGCCTGCCTTAATATAGATGGGATTAGGTAAAAACGTATATTTTATTTGAACTCAAATTAAAATGATTTTTTTTTTAATTTCTCAATATTTTTCTAACAAGGTTAAAATAACAAATATTAGTACAGTGGAAAGGGAAAAGCCACGATTTTCACAAAAATTTGCATTTGTTTTATATATAGGCTAATTTAAAAGTCGATATCAAACCGACTGCAAAAAATGAAAATATGAACATTACTTTACGATTATCCGGTACAGTCCCAACAAGAAAGAAGAACATGAGAAAATGAAAAAGAAGCGGATGAGAAAGGCGTTAGTTTTGGACTCTGCCATCACAGGTGTCGGCGAAATGGGATGGTAGAAAGGGACGGGCCGGAAAGTGAATGTAGCGTTAACATTTTTCCGGCACTTTTCCTATATCACGCCTAGACTGCCTTTAAACACCAAAGGCAGCGTGCGCAGAAACTCTTCAAATGTCATTGACCAGTAAATGCCACCAGCAGGGGCTATTTGCCATCGGTCGTTCTCAGCTCCACTTTCCCAGTTTCCCATACGAATTCTCAATTCCCTGTTGCTAGTTGCCCACTTTTAGCCCTCTTGCTTAATGCAAAACAGAGAAAGCAGTTTGTTTAAAATTTAATGTACAATATCGCTGGTTATCTTTTAATGGCTCTATCCTTTGGCGAAACGGGTATAATTCTACAGTATTAAGACAAGCCAAGCTGGCTTAGTATCTTTGTCTGCCATTGAGAAGCTTTCCTTTTAGACTTATTTAAAATCTTTAAGCATGCAGATTCCAGTGACCGATATTCTGTACTACAATTCTGTAAAACACGATTAAAATTGGAATATAATTATTTTGCCTATCACACTACTTGGGTTGTAAAAACATACTCCGCTCTAGGACAACGAAACACGGAACTTCATCCAAGAGTTCATTCTTATTTTATTATTAATTTAAGGCGTAAATAGACGAAAGAAAAAGGCTATATTTTTTATATTTTCCCCTGGTGTAGTATAGTTTGTTTTGGCCTGCACTACGTACTCTCGACTTGGACTGTTACTCAAGCGTAATGGGGTTAAAAGTGAGCTGAAGCGAATAAGACCAAAAGGTAAAAATATACAAAACTGGGTTTAGTCAGAGCTCTTTTGGATTGCTTAAGGTATGTATTAGATACTGACCATGACTCATCGTGAAATTTGAAATAATTATCAAAAATGACGCAATTTGGTAAAATAAAATAACCAAATGCGACTAGCACGTCTGTCCCTCGCGTCCACAGTTATTTTTGGTCGATTATTTTTTGGAATTTTATCAGTTCAAATCTTAAGTTAGCAGCTTATAGTAAAATCGACGGTAGAATACTTTATTGTTAGGATTTTCGCGCATTCTTTTTAATAAAAATACTAGAACGATTTAATAATATAAATCTTGACAAACTTTTACACAACCTGGCGATCACAGTAACAAAAAATGATAATTTTACTTTAATAGGGGTTATTTTACAGTTCTATACCTATTTAGATACCGTAATTATAGGTAGTTGCAATTTTCAAATATTTCTTTGATACTTCTACAATACGCTGTAACCCAGTAAAAAAATGTAAAGTAAAACATTATTTCAGATTTTAAAGTGTGACTAGCATAGAAAAGGGGGAAGCTCCAAAAAATAGCAAAAGAACGCCACGATGACATCAACAATTTTAACTGGCGACCAACACTCATTTCAATTTTTTCTTATGTTAATTGTGAATGGTGCGCTGGAAATGAGGAAATTGCACGAAAGCTCACAAAAAGAGGCCGAGAGAAACGGCGGGGAGACATACATAAATCACACATGAAAGACAACAAAACACAAATATTTAGATAAACTTATGGAATGCATGAAAAAAATTAAACAAATTCACATTCTAACAAAATATAAATCGAAGGGTACCAACTAAGAAGAAACAACGGTCTTTAACCACAAGACCCGTCACGTATCCCCTACATATAAATCATCGTCAAGTAAATTATTCAATTCAAGAAAGTAGTAGTTGAAATTACTAGCCAAGTCTCAGTCGTCCACATTTTAAGAAATCAATATAGACATGGCTCGTTAAATATCTAAAAGGGCAATGAGTAAGATAGGAATTAGGCAAGACAGATAGCCGGAGTGCCCAAAAACGGAATGCAATTGTCAGCCGCTTACTGCTTTTGGCAAGCACACGCACACTTTTAAAAGCAAAGTCGCAAAAAAAAAAAAACGATAACGGCGATGAAACAGTCTAGGATCACCTTATATGACTCTAAATTTAAATTAGAACTTGAAGATGCCCAAGAAAAAGAAGCCACCCTTTGGTGACAGATATGAAAACTTTAACAGAAAATAATAAAATAAGATTTTTTAATTCGGCTTTCTTAGATTTATAGACCTTTGGAACGGGCAACGCCCATTGATAGTTGAAAGTTCCCTCGAACACCACTGCCAAATAAAGTGAGAAAGACCCCTCCCAATGTTATTGGATCCACGAATATGTACATATATGTGTATGTAAATATTGTATTTGCGGATGTAGGGACGAGTGTTCTTGTCGGCTTTGTAATTTCTATTTTTAAATTAGCCAAAAATGTTGACAATTCGGAAATAATCGAAATTACGGAAGCACAGAACATTCACACTGTGAGTAATGGTGCTTCCTTATATAAAGTAAAGAGTGACATCATTTTTTTTATATATATTATAATTGTCTATTAAGGATACTTTTTATTTTTAAATCTTTAACGGAACTAACAACTTAGGTTATACAAATTCACGTTTCTTAAACATAATTTGGTTAATTTTTGTTTTAATGAAAAAATAGTGTTTCATCTAAGTTAATCAAAACTTGTATAAACGCTAATTATTATCGCTTCAAGAATAAAGATAAGATATATGAAAAACAAAATCTAGAATGTCTAGGAACAAGCTCATCGAGTTCAAACAATTCAATTAAATCACCCCTCATTCTAAGCCTGGTTACTGACGCTGTGTTTTTTATGAGCAAAATTGGGTTTGCCCGTATGCCATATGCCAAGCGCAATGCAACTGTAGCAATAAACGAAATATCATATAATTTATCTTCCATCGCGATGAACAGTTATATTCGTATTCATTAAGTTCATTAACAAAATCTTAATTTCTTTTAAAATTTCTCCAAAATTAACCACCAGGACGAATCATTTGTATTTTCAAGTAAAGATAATACTCCTGCAGGGTAAGAAATATAAAAACATAACAATCCTAAAGTTATTCGGACGCCATCCAAAAAACAGCGTTTGACTGAGCGTACTGGGACTTAATGAATAACAGTACAGTTGAGATATAAATAATAAAAAACGAACAACCAAACCAACGAAGAAAAGTTAAATGAAAACGAAAAAATACTAGACACAGCGCAAATTGTGTAGGAAAACCGGCTTACGGCCATGGCAAATTTTCGCAATTTAGTCAAGAAAAAACTTGGGGAAAAAGTAAAGAAAAGAAGATTGTCTGATAAATAGGGAGAGGATAGAGATTAAGGAAAGACAGAAGAACCAAAAAAGTTTTGCCAATTCATGTTGCTATGTAGTCATGCCCTGATGATGAAGTTGGACTGTGTGAAAAACCGTGCAGCAACAACAATGGCTCGAATCCGAACGGAAAACATTACTGTGAAACTAGTTCACCAATTTAAATATTTATATTAAAATTTGTCAATGGTTGATACCTCTCTCTTGGCTCGCTCCAACTAATTCTTATAATTTTTGTAACGAATTTTAAAGAGAACGTTTCCAATCTTACTCTACGAGTTAGGAGTAAGACACAGCATTTTAAGCTACATTTACTACGAAATAAAAACGGAAGAAAACGCCGACACGAAAGATAGTTAACAGTACTATTCATCTAGATTTTCTATCCTCTCTCATTTTTTTTTTGTTTTCTTTGCTTTTTCTTTTGTGAAAGTATACAGCAAGCACAAACATAAACCGAAAACTTACAATTACAATAGGAAAGAGGCAAAGCAATACATATAGAAGGTAACCGCACTGCAGTCGGATAAACACGTTAGAACGGAGCCGAAGCCATGAAATTGACTGGCTTTCTTGGCCAACTTAAATTTGAAGTCCGACCATAAAACGAAAAACTCAAAGGAAAGACCCCCTATTAACAATAAAAACGGTAAGCTGCACGATGAATAAAAGAGTAAAAGAAAATAGGAGTCAAACCAGCAAATTCATAATAGAGCAAAATATGAGATACAAAAAGAATGAACAACTAGCAGGCAGCTATGTTATGTACAAGCCAAAAAAAATTTAATGGCGCAAATGGTAATAAAACACCTGGCTAAGTTTGTTAGTAGCTCACGAACATTGGTTTGGAAATTGAAAAAAAAAAGTGGCAAACAGTCCGTTGCAAAACGAACAAGAGTAACACTCTGGCGAGTTGTTATTCATTTTATGAGTTCTTTACCATTGGCTCCAAGACCTAGACATATTTCAAGGCGAGGCAAAAAGCTCTTGCCAATGCCCCCAGCTTTTTGCTTTGTAAAGAATCGGGGCCCTATAAAGGATAAAAATGCTTCTGTTAAAGGTAAGAAGGGCTGGGTTAAAAGTCCCAGTTATTTGATTATTTACGTTTATTCGACATCTTTCCACTGCTATATCTACACTGATATGTTAGCCAAGCTTAAGTCTTGCGAATAATTCCTGAAGAGAAGCAGATGCTTAAAGTTATTCTTTGGCCCCACCCAGGCCTGTCATGTAATGAACTTTCCTTTTTTTTTTTGGTAAGGCCACGAATAAACTCTATTTTTATGCCAGGAGAGAAGACGACATATGCCATGAGTTGTCATCCCCCGCAATCCAGATCTCCCTGCATCCATCTCGGAAATCATCTATCCAAGCGCTGCATGGGCCAAATTTAGCCACAAATATATAGCGTCATCTTGTCTCCCTTTTTTCTTCAAAATTATTTTGTACACTCAAATTGCTGAGAGGAGTGTACGAAATGCTATTGAACTTGGCAGAGGATTTTTGCATTTTATAAATACACACTGACCAGGCGGCAAGAGATGAGGAACTACTGCAAATAAGCGCTGTATCTCCAAGTGTGCACAGCGCTTATAACGACGAGACTGTATACAGCTATGGTCATCAAAATACTTTTTTTTTAATTTTAATATATACTACTTGAAAATAGTTCTATGGGCAATATAAAGGATTCCAAAGTTCCTGAATGTATTTGAATATATCTTCTAAATATACATTTAAAAAACAATTTCAGTTTATGTTGCTATCACCACAACTGTACATGCTAAAAATTATATATGTGTATGTGAGCAGCAATGTAAATTTAGATAACGCACTCATAGTTCCCATAAGATATTATATCTGCAAGAAACAAGCAGAGGACCTCCTCGCGATAATGCTGAAAGCATTTTCTCTTGAACTCGAAATGTAAAACGGTAAAATGAATCGTCAAGTCTTATCCATACTTCTGAGTTCGCCGTGTCTGTTGTATTCGCAAGCGGTTTTCAAGTGGTCCCCAGCCGGCGTCTTTTTGCCAGTCCTCTCCATACAAACACAACCCACGCAGAGCAAAATTAGCCGCAGAGATATTACAGAAAATGTTCAACCAGTTTTTTACAGAAAAAGTACAAGATTTTTCCGAAATATGACCATGTTTTAAGATCAACCAGAATACCAAATATAAAACATGCATCCATAGATACTGTAGGTTTAATCCTATATGCTTAAATATACCTCTCCGGGCTGGGATCGACAGCCACGAATGCTGCACCTTCATCGGCCTTTCATCGGACACGCACGAATATCTATTAAGTAACAAAAACAACCAAATTGACCATCTTTGTGAGGATCTTCTGATCATTAACCTCATATTAGACAACTGCTCTGGACTAGCAAGCATTCGAGCCGACTTTTTTAGTCTCCACCTGTCTTTACAAACCCATCGCAATATAACATAAAGTAAACAATCTAAAGTATTAATATAATCAAAAACTAAAAATATAATAAATTTATACATCTAGAGTGATGTATAATATATATTATATATTATATATTTATTAATTTTGCAGAACTTAAACTAAATGAATTACAGCCAGAATTGAAGAAAATAAATATTTCTTTCAAGTGTTTTAAAAGTTTCAACCAGCACAAGCCTATAGCAACATTTGCAACTCTATGTTTTTTGTTACACACAGATTTACTCTGATTATCATTTTTTGGAGTCGTGAACAAATTTGCGCAGTTGGTATATTTCAGATTAGAGATAGGCGCCTTTGATAAGGTCAGATTTTAAATTGTAAACAGTAAATATAAGTGATGTAACAGAAACAAAGTGCGATTGGTGATTAAATGAAATTGCATTCGATTTTTAGCACTGATTTTTCTTAAAAATTTATTAATTCACGTCCAGAGAGGTATCTGTTTGCATGCGCGAAAATTAATTGCTTTGGAGATACCCAGCTAAGGGTTAAAACCAGTTTTCTTTGATATTGAACCCAGCTCAAGAGATTTCTTCTTCTTCTTTAGCAAAAGCAATGGCTTAATTGAGAAAAACAGATCATGAAGAACAAAAATCTTATAAAATTTAAACACATTCTGTTTTTTTTGCGTGTACATATAAGAGTGCATGACCCAATTAAGAGTCCAAAGTCATCTCTATCCACATTTTTCGATTTTTTCCACCCCCATCGTTTTCTAACCCACTGTATATGTAAATCTGTTCGCCTGTGCAATTGTTATTGTTGTTCTAATTATGAAAGCGTGTCTGTGTGTAAACGAGTGTGTGCATTGAAGCTGGAATTTGCAACGGAGCGAAAAGAGTCCAACTCTTGCAGAAGTTGGCAACGCCATTTCCATTTATTGTTATTGTTGCTAGTCATGCAGATTGCAGACGTTAAGAAAAAAAGGGGAAAGCTTTAGAGAGAGCCAAGTTTCATTAGAATGCATTGACCGCAGTCCAAAACAATTCAAAAAAGAAAACCAAAAATTGCAAAAGAAAAATCCGTATCAAAAATTTATAGTGTTTAAAGTTTTTTTAATTTTCTATATGGTTTACGAAAACCATCCTTTCAGTTAAGTAATTTATGGTAAATTGCAATTTTTAAGCATTAAGATCTATGCCAAACAAAATAAAACAAAAAATGTTTCGCGAATCTTACATTGATATGAAATCTACAATATTTACTTTAGCGGAACTACCTATTACTGCCATAGCTAGAAAACAAATACAATTTAACAAAAACAAACTACCCGATCAGAATCGCCTTTTATTTTTTTAACCAGCTCGGTAAACAAAGAAAACTCCACCCAGAAAAAGTCGGGTGCATACAACGAAGATGAATAATCGACTCCTGGCGATAGCACTTGCGTGTCCTTTAGGGTGTAAAACTTGAGTGGCAGTTAACTCGCAGCACAGTACAACCCACCCGAATGCAACGAACAAAAGGAGAGCAAAGAAAAGCTGCAATGTTGACGGTGACGCATGAGCGAGGAGCAAGAAGCAGAGAGAAAAAGGAGTATACCAACAAAATTAATGATTATTTTGTATGCCGGTGTCAAAAAAAAAATAGGCAAGGACAATATAAAACAGGAAAAGAATGAAGAAATTGAAGAAACAGAAGCCGAAAGAAAATTACTATCCACTCGAAGAAACTTTGGATTACAGAAATTTCTTGCATGACAGTAATTGTTATTTTTTATAGTTTTCTTATATTTCTTTTTTAGCTTACCTGTGGAAGAGCTCCGGCCGAAAAAGACTCCAAGAAATGGGATTCCTGATCGAGCTTGGGCTTCTCAACCAGCTCCTTGGTGTCCTCAACCAGATGCTTCTCTTCAGTAGAAGAAAGAGGTGAAGGTGTGATGTCCACTATTTCAGCTTGCTGGGACTCTAGCTCTAGTTTCTCCACACGCGAGTCTGACTCCGGGCTAAACTGTGGTGCACTTGTGTCAAGCAACAAACTCTGATCCGCAAAAAGTTCAGAGCTTTTCACTGGATAAGGTTCTGGCTCGTGCTCCGATGGTAGCGTCTCCTTAGAAGTATGTTCCAAGTAAAATGAAGCCTGCATTGGATCCTGATCAGCGTCACTCATGAACGATTGATGATGTTGCTCCTGCTGTACCTCCTCTTGAACCTGAAGCTCCTCAGTAGAAGGCGACTGCGAGATATGCTCTTTTTCTTCGACATGGAGCAGCTCCTTTTCATCGCCCGTCTGCATGGGCAGAGGTTGCACGGAATTCAGGATATCTTCAATAGAGGCATTGTGCTCGGCATAAATTGATTGCTTCATGATATCGGCGCCGGCGGGCAGCTGATCCAGTGACAAGTCCATATCAACACTGGTCTCCGGACCGTGATCCAGAACATTCGTTAATGCCGCTGACTCACAGGATTCTGCACCGTTCAACAGCTGCATATCCAGGTTTTTGGTGCCAAAAATGTCCGATTCCTGATCCAGTTCGTGTGGTCGCTTATTCGCCTCAGTATCGAACTCACGCTCATCGGGTACCGCAATTGTATCCATGTTGTCTCTGGCAGATCCTTTCCGTGGACTCTCCGCCACCAGGTCATCCAGGGGACCACCAAGCAGAATCTGGCGGGGTTGTAAATCGAGTATGGGATCATCCACAGTCCGAAGGGGAGATGACGGTTGGGAGCCATAGCTGGGTACAAAGGCCACAGCATTGGGATTAAGCTGGGAATGGTTATCCTCTAGCTCCCCGGCACAATCAAAGTTCTCCTTGTTGTCAAAGCTCGCTAATAGTTCTTGGGCTACTGGCTGGGATAATAGCACGACCTTCTCCTGATCTAATGGTGTGGGATTATTCTCGCTGAGACTGCTAGTTCCATAAGTAGTAGCCACGGAGCTTGGCTCGTCTTCATCTTCCTGGTGAGATTTCAGCTGCTCTAGTTGATCCTGTTCCGCCAATTGTTCTGCTACCTGCTGGCCCTGACCCACCACCTCGTCTGTGGAAGTGGTTGTGTTAGAATTAGTGGACAAATCGCCTTCGTTTTTTATTAATTCCACGTCCTCCTCGTCTAGATTTAGACCAGCGGCAGCACCGTGACCCAAGACTAAATCTCCAGAGTGCAGCCCTGGACCAAATCCATTGCCGGTTTCCGCTGCCAAAAGGAGCTGCTGCTGCTGTTCGTGCTTTTCGCTTTGCTGGACCTCGTGTATGTACTTCCACTCCTCGTCGCCTTCTCTGTCGTTATCCTTTATTTCCGATTTGGAGGGCGCGACGCCAGGAGCAGAGAGTTCGTCCGCTGTAGCGTCCGACAGTTGGAGATGGTGCTCACCGGCGTCACCGGTAATTTGCAGACTCTCGGCAAGGCGGTTCTGCAAATAGTTGTCAAACTGAGCGTCTTCGTGCTGTTCCATCCTGCGCGATATATCTGCAATAATGTATTCGCCCAATAGGTATTGGTGTAAGTGATGATTCAGCTTGCTCGTGATTCACACGCCACTGCGTTTTATTTCTCGATTTCTCGCTTTTTTGGCGTTCCTTTTTTGCAGATTCTCTCACTCACACATATACACTCGCTCTCGCAGCGAAAAAGAGACGCAAAGTAGGAGCGCAGAGAAAACGAATTTGTTTCTTGTCCTTCCTTCCACTTCCTTCGCTTAGCACTCAAATTCCAACTTATGTTGAAATTAACACAGCTCAAAGTCTGTTAACCTTTTTTTTGCTTCTCAACGCTCAAAGTTGCGGTTTATTAACTTCCGAGTTTTTTAGTTCAGCTTTGATTGCAGTTACTTTTAAATTGCTTGCCGACCGACTTTAGCGCACAACACAACCACCATCCAGACGATAAAACGAAACCAGTATGACCGCACTTGGTGTGTTTTAAAATACCATACATATCTATTAAAGCATCGATTGCACAACAAAAGTATCGATAACCCAAAGATTATTGTTCCGGATATCGATAACAGTTTACTAGATTAAAGTCTTTTTATACGGCGGTCTCACAAAAAATGCGGCGGTTAGTTTAAAATTGAAATATAAAATCAGAAAATTAAAGCCAAAAAACGGAATTGGGAAATTTTCGCCTTCCTTTCATAAACATCTTAAAGAAAAATCTCAAATTTGAACAGTAAAAGGTTAGAAATTACGTGACATATGGCATTTAATTTTATCACCATTTATCGCTTTGTGATGACCAAATTACTAATTTTTTGCGGAAAAACCAGTTGTTTTTTAAATTTTTATCATATATTTTTGAGAAATGTGTAACTCCACGGTTTATGTCATTTTATATTGTAAGCATTTATTTCTTTTTATAGACTAAAACTGGTATTTTGACGAATCATCAGGGTTATCCAATTTTCACTATATGTTTTTCAGAAAAATAGCTAAAAACTAATGTTTTCATATTTTATCGTCAATATTGCGCAATACCAAAAAGAAACACTACTGTTCGCCTATCAACACGAACTTTTGGAACTTTAAAAGAGGGAAGCAGTCAATCAATTTCATTATTTAGATCATTTGACTATTCGAAAAGTAGTAAACTTAGTTTTTTAATATTTTATAACTCCTAATGTCTCATAATCTCATGGGCTTGTAATTGAACTAATAATAACTAATATTGCTATTACAAATATAGTTGTATTAAAAAGCGTGTTAGGGTTAAACTCGAAAACTTTAAAAGCAATATAAAAATATTATTACCAAAATGTAGATTGACAAGTTTAAAATGGTAATTTTTTTGTTTTTACATATTACATTTAAATAATTTTATACAAAAGTTTTGGCGTTAAAGCCCTAAGCGTCGCTGTCTATAACGTAATTTGCGTTGTAGGCGACGTCGAATCAAAAAAACATTACCCGCTGCACCCTTAATATGTACATATATATGTATGATATACCTACATAAGGTGCCGTTCTTCGTTTCAATCCATTGTTACTTTTTGCATTTTTTCATTTCATTTGCATTGTGTATATACTGTGTGCTGTTCGGTCGGTTGAAACGGATATATACATATGTACATTCACACATAAATATTAAAAAACTAAATTCCGCTAACTTTTGCTACTTACGTACGATTTACGTTTCGTGTTTTTTTTTCTTTGTTTTGATTTATTTGTTTGATATGATTGTATACATAAATACGTATGTACATATGTGTATGTGTGCACTGATCATCGTACACCGACGAGTAAGCGGCGCTGACCGTTGCGGAGTTTACGTTTCTGCCGGCATTGCATTACGTTTTTATTCCTAAAGCCGAAGCGCACTGCCCGTGCGACGACTAACGTCATTTAAGTATATGTATATATGTATATATTTATTTCCTTTTCTTTCGGGTGTCGCTGTCTGCTGCGTAGTTCGCGTTTTTAATGGCGTCGCATTGTTGTACGAATGTCCAATGCCGTAGCGTCGCTGCCCAGGCCACCACTCGTCTGCAAAAACCAAACGATGCCCGCCATCCATCTTTTGTCGTTTGGAACGGTTGTTTGTAGGATTTTATTGATGAGGAATAAAATATGATGGCAAGGCAATGATTTCTTTACGTAAAATTTGAACAAGTCTGAATAAAAAACAAGACATAGCGAATGGCAAAGTAAAAATTAAAACCAAAATATTTGTCTCTTTTAATTTAAAATATGTAATATTTTGCAAGTTCTGCATTAAGTTGCATCATTCATTTTTCTTAATAAAAAGTTTTAGGTTTGAACTCCGATCTATCAAGTATTGAAAAATTGTAGTTTTAATGGGATATGTATCAAATAAACATGTATGATTGTACCGTTATTTTATGTGCCAAAATGTAAAGCGTCACTTTCAATGGCAAAGTTTTTGTTTTTGCGTCGTAATTTTTAAGAAACCGTTACCCACTTGATCGTTTATCATTTGGTTCTTAGTTATTTCTGCTTTTTATGGAGAAGGGAATATAATTTCTTTGCAAGTGTTCCTATCACGTTTTTGAAAGCGTAGTTTAGAAAAACCGTTAGACATTAAATAGTGCCGATTGTTTGGCTTATACACTTGCTTACAGGCATATGTTTGAATGTACATACATATGTCTGTTCATGGGTAAAAATCCGAAGCGCCACTTCCCTCGTTACGCCCGAAGTGCAAATAAGCACTTGAACCACATTCCGCCATTCTGCGATCGTTTGAATTCAGAGCGCTTTTTCGTTTGGTGTTATTAGTGTTGAAGGAATTATATTGTTGCGGTAATGATGTTCTTGCAAGGTGCCGTTGTTTGGTTGACTTATACACATATACATATGCATGTATCTACTTCTATTCGTTAGTGTGTTCAAAGCAGTGTTGCCGTTTTATCCTTTTTCCGGACAGATCTGTCCGGTTTTTAACTGCGTCAGCCGGAAAAAATGTAAAACATCCCCTAGCCTTTTATCTGTCCTTTTTTTATTTTGACCTGGCCTTTTTTATCCGCTTTTTATTTTTGTGTAAAGTGCTGAAAAGTAATCAAAATGTACATTACTTTTATAAGTGCAGTGCAGTGGTGCAGAAAGACAATGAAAAAGCATACTGCAAATGCAGTATAAACCCGAAAATTGACCAGATCCGTGTACATATGGTGACGAAAAAGCACATACAAAATGCGCAGCCCAGGCAAATAAAATTAATTTTAAGCCGATAGCAACAAATGCATTGTGTAGACAAGAAGCGGCACTGGCTATGTTTGTTGCACAGCATGCTGCCACAAATCCAGTTGGCCACCTCAGCAAATTTTTAATAGATTAATTACAGATTATCAAACAATGTCTTCGTTTTTTATACTAATTATATAATAAAATGTAAAATGTGTTTGTCGAAGAGTATATAGATATTATGTTATATAGTAAATGAATTTTTAGTTAATATATTTTTTGCCATGAATATGAAATTCCTGAGAAATATTTAAAAATGATTGGAAGCAACCAATCTACAATAAATCAAAGTTTAGAAGTTTGCAATGATGACATTGACGATGTTCTAAACGATTTGGCAACCAATAAAGAGTGATATTACATAAAATGTATGGAAAAAATATTTTGTCTTGTTTTTTGTCCTTTTTTTTTAAATTTTTGTCCTTTTCTATCCTTTTTTTATAATCAATCTAGCCTTTTTCTATAACGAGCCGACGGCAACACTGGTTCAAAGCCGAAGCGGGTCTGCCCGCGTCACGACCGAAGTGCAAAATAAGCGTTCGAGGCGCAGTTAGCCATTCTTCGTTTTCTTGTCATTTGGTGCGGTTGTCCATAGCGCGAAGCGTCAGATCTTGCAGAGCCGTTTGCGTTTTTAAAGCCAGACACTCGCTGCCGGCATCGTAGCCTGCATAGAATAAATTAAATTGATGAACTTCCCGCCATTTTTTAATGTTTTGTTGTTCGGTAAGGTTACTCGTTTATTCTCTCGTTGTGAAAAAAATAAAATGGAGCGTCATAGTTATTTTTACAATAAATTTAATCAAGTCGAAATTGTATTTTGAAAATGTTTTTTCGATAAATTACTATAAGTGAATGTAAATATATCAAAAATTTTAAGTTGTGTTAAATAAAATTTGGAGTTAGTTAGCCCACGCAATATTCTTACATATTTAAATAAATCTACTGTTTTTTTTTGACGAAAAAGCGCTATGCATAGTTGTCTGCACACTTACTGTTTTTGCCGTCGCCGTATTAAAAATCCGCTGTTCTACTTTTGTTTTCTTTTTCATTGTAAGATGCCGTTGTTGTAAATAAATAAATTAATGTAGTAAAATTGCGTGACAATTAAGCGTATGTGCTTATTAAGTATCAATATTTTATATTTGTCTGTTTTCATTTATTTTCAGTGTCAAGAAACTGCACTTCAATGAATGCCTGGCATCAGAGATTATTTCAATTGCCCAAATTTGACTTTTCGCAGAGAAAAAAACTATTTAATAAGCTTACTCCTATTTTAATAAAAGTGGTTCAGCTTGCTTGATGCGGAATAGAATTAGTGCCACCAATATATTGTTGTATGTATTTATTTGTATTTAAAAATTTTAAATCTCACTCCTTTCTTTTATTTTCAGAGTAAAGAAAATTGTGGTTTGTTACCGTTAATCGGGAAGTGGAGCAACAAAAGTAAATTTAATGGCTTAAATCTGACTAGTCAAGAGGCTGCAATTTTTTTTTTACCGACGGTAGCTCAATTTCGCATACAAGACGTTTGGTTTGCTCAATGCAGAAAAGAGAATAATTCACTGAAAATAAAATGCAGTATGTATACTTTGGATTTCGGTGTTTCGTAGCTAACTTCCTTCCTTTACTTTCAGTGTTTAGGGAAATCACGGTTTAATGGAGGTTAATGGAAAGGGAAAACACAAAGATAACGCCAACTATCTTATAATGATTTCCGTAGAAAAAGCTAAAAGTATTAAAGACTGTTACATCTATTCTTAACAGGGAGGTAAGTACACACATTTTCATAAAAGTTATACAAGTCGAAGTGTACTTTTAAGCAGTTTGTCATATTTTATTGAAACGATAATCCACCATGAGATTAGACTAAGTTTTTCTTTTAAACATATCCAAAAACAATTGTTTAAGCATAAATGAGCATACCTAAAGTTAATTTATAAAAGTTATCCATCAATAATTTTGAAGTTTTAATAGGCTTTTCTTTTCTTACAACCGCCCAACTAGCAGCGCTTAGCTGCCATCGTAAAAAGAAAAACTTATGTGACCTGCCACTCGTCGGTTTTTCTTTGTAAAGGGGTGTGGTTTTTGTTCCGCTTATATACATATATATATCTGTACTGCTCTTTTGTACATCAAAGTAGTATACCCCGCTGCCGCTAGCCCTAACTCTAGCGCCATTAGACATTCTTCTTTTTGGAAAATTTGTTGTGGTTGGTTGTTCTGCTTGTACAAAGTTTTGTATGGCATGTTTAGTGTACGGAAATTTGATATTTGTATTTTTTTACACATCGTCTTCTAATACAAGCACCTTAGTGGGAACACTCAACGTTTACCGTAAAAAAAATACTTGCGGGACATTTGTTTACATTGCTTCTTTGGAGCTTGGTCTTGTCGTTCGTCTTTTGTTTATATAGCTGTACTGCTCTACCACCCGCAAAAGGTTTACAGGTTGTTGTCTACATGGCAAAAAGAAACCACCGCAAATAAGCATGATCTTTTTTAACTCTAATTACACGCTAATCTTGTAGAAAAAGAGTTCATGCAATACATATGAATTATATTTGAAATATTTGTAGTTATACTGATATTGTGGGTTATTAAGTAATGAATTAATTAGGTATACATAAACTATCGATTGTTTATATTTCATTTGAACATAAACGAGAAACAATATTACCAGGCAAAAAAGACCAATTTTTTTCGTGTAAAGTTTGACTCGCAGGCACTAACCAACAAATGTACAAAAAAACGCGAGTCTGCTTATATTTTATTTAAAGTTAAATAAGAATCAATGCTACCAGGTTTTCCTGACGAATGGTGTTCGGGTAAAATTTGACCTTCCGGCACCGACCAACAGATTTGCAAAAAAAAGCGCGAATCTGTATTTTTTTTTTTGTGATGTTCTTTTGACGCCAATAGAGAAGTACGTATACAGAACTTATACGAGACTTTCTGTTGAATTTTGCAAGTGGTTTACTTGAAAGAAAGATAAATTATAGGTTAATTATAAATTAACTACAAAAGAATTAAAACAAATTTATACATAAAGTATAAAGGAAAGCGAAATTCATTACATGTGATTTATAAACATTTATATTAGATTTGTAGATGAAATATCTTACTGTAAAGCGGAAGAGCCATGCAGATTACTAACAGTTGGAGGCTGGTTATACGTAGACTAATTATGCAATAGAGAAATGCTTACAATTATATACTTAACTTATAGGTAACTTGAGGGTGAATTATACAAATGTTTTACTTGAACTAAATAGAAATTGTAGGTGAATTATGAACTATTCACAGGTGAATTAAAATCAAATTATGCATGAGGTGTAGATAAAAGAGAAAATAATTAAAAGTTTTTTTTTATAAATATTTATACTTGTTTTTCAGATAAAATTATTTATTGTAAAGAGGAAAAGCTTTGCAGATTACCAATGGTTTCTGGTTGGTTATACGTATAATTTTTATATAATTTACCCAAACCTATGCACATTGTTTATTAATTGTAGGTGAACTATGCATTGTGCTGTGGAAAGGAAGAGCTTTGCCGTACGCTAACCCGACTTAGATTGTTATCCGAAAGAAGGTTCCACATCAAATGACATGCTATATGCATAGCAAATATAGTTTATACATGGTAAGTACTTGATGAATACATGCTATCCAGATAATATGTAGGAAAAATATGCGTTATATCTATTTTGTTATTTAGTAACGTACATTTTACTGCATGGTTGTGCCCTTTTGGTATTCAAGTACATAATTTAGAACACAACTAACATCATTTGAAGACCGATAATTTTTAATGGTGTTGCCGGACATTACCGTATATATTACAAGGCGTTAACAAATAAGTGTCTTTGTACTGATTGGCGCTGTATTATTTAGGTTTTTGATATATGCTGTCGTCCTAATAGCTTTTCTACTGGCTGTTTGTTGTAGGTCTTTTTGGTTACTTAAATAAGGCTCAAAACTTTCTGAAATAGGTGGCGCCTTATATTTAAGTGTATTTTATAGTGCCTTCCGCATGCTACAAGAGGGAGCTAGTAAATAAAATGTGTTAAGAGTATACTGGATACTATTAGGCAAATTGTTTAAATAGTGAATATTGTTTATTAATACGCTTTTTCACAGGTGCAATATTCGACGAAAGCGTTACATAGGAATTATCGATAACACAACTGACTCACATTATTGGCGTTGTTTAACAGATAACATGAAGAAGAGGACACTAAGGGATCGCTAACCAACACATCATATGCTCCTATATATTGGACTCCTTCAAGCGGACGACGATTGATGGTATCAATGTTGTTTGATAGACGGCGCTGTAAAACTAAAGGCGCATTACACGTCCGTCTCTAGGTTACAAACATGAACAAATAAGACATACCAAAGACAATTTGGATTATATTAAGGATAACGCAAATGTTATACCACACTAGTGATGGTAGAACAATAATAAGAAATGTTAATACTTAAGAATGTTAACCTAAGCAAAAATTGTAAACAAAGCAAAGATTGCACTATATAGATATTGCACTCAGAGCTGTAAGAATATGTTAAAAGTATCTTAAGTAGTCGTAAACAATGTATACACAATGTTCCGAACGATGTTATTAGTTTAAGCAACTGTTAAGCCGTATATAATGTAACACAATGAGCTTGTACACATAGTTAAGCTAGACATAAGTAACGTTCAGCCAATTGCCAGACAATGTTAAGATAATCAATGAGGTAGAAAGGAAGAAAACGACTCAAAGAAGGAAAAGGAGCCCAAGAAGACTGCCAAGGAGTCCAAGAAAGAAACCCCCAAAGCCGCAGAGCAAAACAAAAACAATGATCAGTCCACGATTAATCTCTTTACAGCCAAGAAAGCGGACACCAGCAAGAAAGAGAAGCCAGAAGTTAAGACTGCGGAGAAAGGCAAGAAGAAAGATCAAAACACCAACGATTCCAAGCCAAAAGAAGCTCCCAAAAAGGATACACCAAAAACCTTAGGGAAGCCAAAGAAGGAGGAATCAGTAGAAAAGAGCAACAAAGAAGAAAAGTCGCAGAAAGAAAAAGAAGAAGACTCACCTGCCGCCAGTAATCAAAAAGAAACAAGCAGGAAGAGTAAAGGCAAAAAACAGAAGGAGGAGGTCAACCAGAAGGAAGAAAACGACTCAAGGAAGGAAAAGGACCCCAAGAAGACTACCAAGAAGTACAAGAAAGAACCCCCTAAATATTGTTTATTAATACGCTTTTTTACAGGTTCAACATTCGACGCAAGCGTTACATAGGAATTGGCAATAACACAACAGACATACGGATACATAATGTTGTCTATAACAGAGGCTCTTTCCAGTATACGGCCCTTTGTAGAGAAACTGACTCACATTATTGGCGTTGTTTAACAGATAACATGAAGAAGAGGACACTAAGGGATCGCTAACCAACACATCATATGCTCCTATATATTGGACTCCTTCAAGCGGACGACGATTGATGGTATCAATGTTGTTTGATAGACGGCGCTGTAAAACTAAAGGCGCATTACACGTCCGTCTCTAGGTTACAAACATGAACAAATAAGATGTACCAAAGACAATTTGGATTATATTAAGGATAACGCAAATGTTATACCACACTAGTGATGGTAGAACAATAATAAGAAATGTTAATACTTAAGAATGTTAACCTAAGCAAAAATTGTAAACAAAGCAAAGATTGCACTATATAGATATTGCACTCAGAGCTGTAAGAATATGTTAAAAGTATCTTAAGTAGTCGTAAACAATGTATACACAATGTTCCGAACGATGTTATTAGTTTAAGCAACTGTTAAGCCGTATATAATGTAACACAATGAGCTTGTACACATAGTTAAGCTAGACATAAGTAACGTTCAGCCAATTGCCAGACAATGTTAAGATAATCAATGAGGTAGAAAGGAAGAAAACGACTCAAAGAAGGAAAAGGAGCCCAAGAAGACTGCCAAGGAGTCCAAGAAAGAAACCCCCAAAGCCGCAGAGCAAAACAAAAACAATGATCAGTCCACGATTAATCTCTTTACAGCCAAGAAAGCGGACACCAGCAAGAAAGAGAAGCCAGAAGTTAAGACTGCGGAGAAAGGCAAGAAGAAAGATCAAAACACCAACGATTCCAAGCCAAAAGAAGCTCCCAAAAAGGATACACCAAAAACCTTAGGGAAGCCAAAGAAGGAGGAATCAGTAGAAAAGAGCAACAAAGAAGAAAAGTCCCAGAAAGAAAAAGAAGAAGACTCACCTGCCGCCAGTAATCAAAAAGAAACAACCAGGAAGAGTAAAGGCAAAAAACAGAAGGAGGAGGTCAACCAGAAGGAAGAAAACGACTCAAGGAAGGAAAAGGACCCCAAGAAGACTACCAAGAAGTACAAGAAAGAACCCCCTAAATATTGTTTATTAATACGCTTTTTTACAGGTTCAACATTCGACGCAAGCGTTACATAGGAATTGGCAATAACACAACAGACATACGGATACATAATGTTGTCTATAACAGAGGCTCTTTCCAGTATACGGCCCTTTGTAGAGAAACTGACTCACATTATTGGCGTTGTTTAACAGATAACATGAAGAAGAGGACACTAAGGGATCGCTAACTAACACATCATATGCTCCTATATATTGGACTCCTTCAAGCGGACGACGATTGATGGTATCAATGTTGTTTGATAGACGGCGCTGTAAAACTAAAGGCGCATTACACGTCCGTCTCTAGGTTACAAACATGAACAAATAAGATGTACCAAAGACAATTTGGATTATATTAAGGATAACGCAAATGTTATACCACACTAGTGATGGTAGAACAATAATAAGAAATGTTAATACTTAAGAATGTTAACCTAAGCAAAAATTGTAAACAAAGCAAAGATTGCACTATATAGATATTGCACTCAGAGCTGTAAGAATATGTTAAAAGTATCTTAAGTAGTCGTAAACAATGTATACACAATGTTCCGAACGATGTTATTAGTTTAAGCAACTGTTAAGCCGTATATAATGTAACACAATGAGCTTGTACACATAGTTAAGCTAGACATAAGTAACGTTCAGCCAATTGCCAGACAATGTTAAGATAATCAATGAGGTAGAAAGGAAGAAAACGACTCAAAGAAGGAAAAGGAGCCCAAGAAGACTGCCAAGGAGTCCAAGAAAGAAACCCCCAAAGCCGCAGAGCAAAACAAAAACAATGATCAGTCCACGATTAATCTCTTTACAGCCAAGAAAGCGGACACCAGCAAGAAAGAGAAGCCAGAAGTTAAGACTGCGGAGAAAGGCAAGAAGAAAGATCAAAACACCAACGATTCCAAGCCAAAAGAAGCTCCCAAAAAGGATACACCTACAGCCTTAGGGAAGCCAAAGAAGGAGGAATCAGTAGAAAAGAGCAACAAAGAAGAAAAGTCGCAGAAAGAAAAAGAAGAAGACTCACCTGCCGCCAGTAATCAAAAAGAAACAACCAGGAAGAGTAAAGGCAAAAAACAGAAGGAGGAGGTCAACCAGAAGGAAGAAAACGACTCAAGGAAGGAAAAGGACCCCAAGAAGACTACCAAGAAGTACAAGAAAGAACCCCCTAAATATTGTTTATTAATACGCTTTTTTACAGGTTCAACATTCGACGCAAGCGTTACATAGGAATTGGCAATAACACAACAGACATACGGATACATAATGTTGTCTATAACAGAGGCTCTTTCCAGTATACGGCCCTTTGTAGAGAAACTGACTCACATTATTGGCGTTGTTTAACAGATAACATGAAGAAGAGGACACTAAGGGATCGCTAACTAACACATCATATGCTCCTATATATTGGACTCCTTCAAGCGGACGACGATTGATGGTATCAATGTTGTTTGATAGACGGCGCTGTAAAACTAAAGGCGCATTACACGTCCGTCTCTAGGTTACAAACATGAACAAATAAGATGTACCAAAGACAATTTGGATTATATTAAGGATAACGCAAATGTTATACCACACTAGTGATGGTAGAACAATAATAAGAAATGTTAATACTTAAGAATGTTAACCTAAGCAAAAATTGTAAACAAAGCAAAGATTGCACTATATAGATATTGCACTCAGAGCTGTAAGAATATGTTAAAAGTATCTTAAGTAGTCGTAAACAATGTATACACAATGTTCCGAACGATGTTATTAGTTTAAGCAACTGTTAAGCCGTATATAATGTAACACAATGAGCTTGTACACATAGTTAAGCTAGACATAAGTAACGTTCAGCCAATTGCCAGACAATGTTAAGATAATCAATGAGGTAGAAAGGAAGAAAACGACTCAAAGAAGGAAAAGGAGCCCAAGAAGACTGCCAAGGAGTCCAAGAAAGAAACCCCCAAAGCCGCAGAGCAAAACAAAAACAATGATCAGTCCACGATTAATCTCTTTACAGCCAAGAAAGCGGACACCAGCAAGAAAGAGAAGCCAGAAGTTAAGACTGCGGAGAAAGGCAAGAAGAAAGATCAAAACACCAACGATTCCAAGCCAAAAGAAGCTCCCAAAAAAGGATACACCAAAAGCCTTAGGGAAGCCAAAGAAGGAGGAATCAGTAGAAAAGAGCAACAAAGAAGAAAAGTCGCAGAAAGAAAAAGAAGAAGACTCACCTGCCGCCAGTAATCAAAAAGAAACAACCAGGAAGAGTAAAGGCAAAAAACAGAAGGAGGAGGTCAACCAGAAGGAAGAAAACGACTCAAGGAAGGAAAAGGACCCCAAGAAGACTACCAAGAAGTACAAGAAAGAACCCCCTAAATATTGTTTATTAATACGCTTTTTTACAGGTTCAACATTCGACGCAAGCGTTACATAGGAATTGGCAATAACACAACAGACATACGGATACATAATGTTGTCTATAACAGAGGCTCTTTCCAGTATACGGCCCTTTGTAGAGAAACTGACTCACATTATTGGCGTTGTTTAACAGATAACATGAAGAAGAGGACACTAAGGGATCGCTAACTAACACATCATATGCTCCTATATATTGGACTCCTTCAAGCGGACGACGATTGATGGTATCAATGTTGTTTGATAGACGGCGCTGTAAAACTAAAGGCGCATTACACGTCCGTCTCTAGGTTACAAACATGAACAAATAAGATGTACCAAAGACAATTTGGATTATATTAAGGATAACGCAAATGTTATACCACACTAGTGATGGTAGAACAATAATAAGAAATGTTAATACTTAAGAATGTTAACCTAAGCAAAAATTGTAAACAAAGCAAAGATTGCACTATATAGATATTGCACTCAGAGCTGTAAGAATATGTTAAAAGTATCTTAAGTAGTCGTAAACAATGTATACACAATGTTCCGAACGATGTTATTAGTTTAAGCAACTGTTAAGCCGTATATAATGTAACACAATGAGCTTGTACACATAGTTAAGCTAGACATAAGTAACGTTCAGCCAATTGCCAGACAATGTTAAGATAATCAATGAGGTAGAAAGGAAGAAAACGACTCAAAGAAGGAAAAGGAGCCCAAGAAGACTGCCAAGGAGTCCAAGAAAGAAACCCCCAAAGCCGCAGAGCAAAACAAAAACAATGATCAGTCCACGATTAATCTCTTTACAGCCAAGAAAGCGGACACCAGCAAGAAAGAGAAGCCAGAAGTTAAGACTGCGGAGAAAGGCAAGAAGAAAGATCAAAACACCAACGATTCCAAGCCAAAAGAAGCTCCCAAAAAGGATACACCTACAGCCTTAGGGAAGCCAAAGAAGGAGGAATCAGTAGAAAAGAGCAACAAAGAAGAAAAGTCGCAGAAAGAAAAAGAAGAAGACTCACCTGCCGCCAGTAATCAAAAAGAAACAACCAGGAAGAGTAAAGGCAAAAAACAGAAGGAGGAGGTCAACCAGAAGGAAGAAAACGACTCAAGGAAGGAAAAGGACCCCAAGAAGACTACCAAGAAGTACAAGAAAGAACCCCCTAAATATTGTTTATTAATACGCTTTTTACAGGTTCAACATTCGACGCAAGCGTTACATAGGAATTGGCAATAACACAACAGACATACGGATACATAATGTTGTCTATAACAGAGGCTCTTTCCAGTATACGGCCCTTTGTAGAGAAACTGACTCACATTATTGGCGTTGTTTAACAGATAACATGAAGAAGAGGACACTAAGGGATCGCTAACTAACACATCATATGCTCCTATATATTGGACTCCTTCAAGCGGACGACGATTGATGGTATCAATGTTGTTTGATAGACGGCGCTGTAAAACTAAAGGCGCATTACACGTCCGTCTCTAGGTTACAAACATGAACAAATAAGATGTACCAAAGACAATTTGGATTATATTAAGGATAACGCAAATGTTATACCACACTAGTGATGGTAGAACAATAATAAGAAATGTTAATACTTAAGAATGTTAACCTAAGCAAAAATTGTAAACAAAGCAAAGATTGCACTATATAGATATTGCACTCAGAGCTGTAAGAATATGTTAAAAGTATCTTAAGTAGTCGTAAACAATGTATACACAATGTTCCGAACGATGTTATTAGTTTAAGCAACTGTTAAGCCGTATATAATGTAACACAATGAGCTTGTACACATAGTTAAGCTAGACATAAGTAACGTTCAGCCAATTGCCAGACAATGTTAAGATAATCAATGAGGTAGAAAGGAAGAAAACGACTCAAAGAAGGAAAAGGAGCCCAAGAAGACTGCCAAGGAGTCCAAGAAAGAAACCCCCAAAGCCGCAGAGCAAAACAAAAACAATGATCAGTCCACGATTAATCTCTTTACAGCCAAGAAAGCGGACACCAGCAAGAAAGAGAAGCCAGAAGTTAAGACTGCGGAGAAAGGCAAGAAGAAAGATCAAAACACCAACGATTCCAAGCCAAAAGAAGCTCCCAAAAAGGATACACCAACAGCCTTAGGGAAGCCAAAGAAGGAGGAATCAGTAGAAAAGAGCAACAAAGAAGAAAAGTCGCAGAAAGAAAAAGAAGAAGACTCACCTGCCGCCAGTAATCAAAAAGAAACAACCAGGAAGAGTAAAGGCAAAAAACAGAAGGAGGAGGTCAACCAGAAGGAAGAAAACGACTCAAGGAAGGAAAAGGACCCCAAGAAGACTACCAAGAAGTACAAGAAAGAACCCCCTAAATATTGTTTATTAATACGCTTTTTTACAGGTTCAACATTCGACGCAAGCGTTACATAGGAATTGGCAATAACACAACAGACATACGGATACATAATGTTGTCTATAACAGAGGCTCTTTCCAGTATACGGCCCTTTGTAGAGAAACTGACTCACATTATTGGCGTTGTTTAACAGATAACATGAAGAAGAGGACACTAAGGGATCGCTAACTAACACATCATATGCTCCTATATATTGGACTCCTTCAAGCGGACGACGATTGATGGTATCAATGTTGTTTGATAGACGGCGCTGTAAAACTAAAGGCGCATTACACGTCCGTCTCTAGGTTACAAACATGAACAAATAAGATGTACCAAAGACAATTTGGATTATATTAAGGATAACGCAAATGTTATACCACACTAGTGATGGTAGAACAATAATAAGAAATGTTAATACTTAAGAATGTTAACCTAAGCAAAAATTGTAAACAAAGCAAAGATTGCACTATATAGATATTGCACTCAGAGCTGTAAGAATATGTTAAAAGTATCTTAAGTAGTCGTAAACAATGTATACACAATGTTCCGAACGATGTTATTAGTTTAAGCAACTGTTAAGCCGTATATAATGTAACACAATGAGCTTGTACACATAGTTAAGCTAGACATAAGTAACGTTCAGCCAATTGCCAGACAATGTTAAGATAATCAATGAGGTAGAAAGGAAGAAAACGACTCAAAGAAGGAAAAGGAGCCCAAGAAGACTGCCAAGGAGTCCAAGAAAGAAACCCCCAAAGCCGCAGAGCAAAACAAAAACAATGATCAGTCCACGATTAATCTCTTTACAGCCAAGAAAGCGGACACCAGCAAGAAAGAGAAGCCAGAAGTTAAGACTGCGGAGAAAGGCAAGAAGAAAGATCAAAACACCAACGATTCCAAGCCAAAAGAAGCTCCCAAAAAGGATACACCTACAGCCTTAGGGAAGCCAAAGAAGGAGGAATCAGTAGAAAAGAGCAACAAAGAAGAAAAGTCGCAGAAAGAAAAAGAAGAAGACTCACCTGCCGCCAGTAATCAAAAAGAAACAACCAGGAAGAGTAAAGGCAAAAAACAGAAGGAGGAGGTCAACCAGAAGGAAGAAAACGACTCAAGGAAGGAAAAGGACCCCAAGAAGACTACCAAGAAGTACAAGAAAGAACCCCCTAAATATTGTTTATTAATACGCTTTTTTACAGGTTCAACATTCGACGCAAGCGTTACATAGGAATTGGCAATAACACAACAGACATACGGATACATAATGTTGTCTATAACAGAGGCTCTTTCCAGTATACGGCCCTTTGTAGAGAAACTGACTCACATTATTGGCGTTGTTTAACAGATAACATGAAGAAGAGGACACTAAGGGATCGCTAACTAACACATCATATGCTCCTATATATTGGACTCCTTCAAGCGGACGACGATTGATGGTATCAATGTTGTTTGATAGACGGCGCTGTAAAACTAAAGGCGCATTACACGTCCGTCTCTAGGTTACAAACATGAACAAATAAGATGTACCAAAGACAATTTGGATTATATTAAGGATAACGCAAATGTTATACCACACTAGTGATGGTAGAACAATAATAAGAAATGTTAATACTTAAGAATGTTAACCTAAGCAAAAATTGTAAACAAAGCAAAGATTGCACTATATAGATATTGCACTCAGAGCTGTAAGAATATGTTAAAAGTATCTTAAGTAGTCGTAAACAATGTATACACAATGTTCCGAACGATGTTATTAGTTTAAGCAACTGTTAAGCCGTATATAATGTAACACAATGAGCTTGTACACATAGTTAAGCTAGACATAAGTAACGTTCAGCCAATTGCCAGACAATGTTAAGATAATCAATGAGGTAGAAAGGAAGAAAACGACTCAAAGAAGGAAAAGGAGCCCAAGAAGACTGCCAAGGAGTCCAAGAAAGAAACCCCCAAAGCCGCAGAGCAAAACAAAAACAATGATCAGTCCACGATTAATCTCTTTACAGCCAAGAAAGCGGACACCAGCAAGAAAGAGAAGCCAGAAGTTAAGACTGCGGAGAAAGGCAAGAAGAAAGATCAAAACACCAACGATTCCAAGCCAAAAGAAGCTCCCAAAAAGGATACACCAAAAACCTTAGGGAAGCCAAAGAAGGAGGAATCAGTAGAAAAGAGCAACAAAGAAGAAAAGTCGCAGAAAGAAAAAGAAGAAGACTCACCTGCCGCCAGTAATCAAAAAGAAACAACCAGGAAGAGTAAAGGCAAAAAACAGAAGGAGGAGGTCAACCAGAAGGAAGAAAACGACTCAAGGAAGGAAAAGGACCCCAAGAAGACTACCAAGAAGTACAAGAAAGAACCCCCTAAATATTGTTTATTAATACGCTTTTTTACAGGTTCAACATTCGACGCAAGCGTTACATAGGAATTGGCAATAACACAACAGACATACGGATACATAATGTTGTCTATAACAGAGGCTCTTTCCAGTATACGGCCCTTTGTAGAGAAACTGACTCACATTATTGGCGTTGTTTAACAGATAACATGAAGAAGAGGACACTAAGGGATCGCTAACCAACACATCATATGCTCCTATATATTGGACTCCTTCAAGCGGACGACGATTGATGGTATCAATGTTGTTTGATAGACGGCGCTGTAAAACTAAAGGCGCATTACACGTCCGTCTCTAGGTTACAAACATGAACAAATAAGATGTACCAAAGACAATTTGGATTATATTAAGGATAACGCAAATGTTATACCACACTAGTGATGGTAGAACAATAATAAGAAATGTTAATACTTAAGAATGTTAACCTAAGCAAAAATTGTAAACAAAGCAAAGATTGCACTATATAGATATTGCACTCAGAGCTGTAAGAATATGTTAAAAGTATCTTAAGTAGTCGTAAACAATGTATACACAATGTTCCGAACGATGTTATTAGTTTAAGCAACTGTTAAGCCGTATATAATGTAACACAATGAGCTTGTACACATAGTTAAGCTAGACATAAGTAACGTTCAGCCAATTGCCAGACAATGTTAAGATAATCAATGAGGTAGAAAGGAAGAAAACGACTCAAAGAAGGAAAAGGAGCCCAAGAAGACTGCCAAGGAGTCCAAGAAAAGAAACCCCCAAAGCCGCAGAGCAAAACAAAAACAATGATCAGTCCACGATTAATCTCTTTACAGCCAAGAAAGCGGACACCAGCAAGAAAGAGAAGCCAGAAGTTAAGACTGCGGAGAAAGGCAAGAAGAAAGATCAAAACACCAACGATTCCAAGCCAAAAGAAGCTCCCAAAAAGGATACACCAAAAACCTTAGGGAAGCCAAAGAAGGAGGAATCAGTAGAAAAGAGCAACAAAGAAGAAAAGTCGCAGAAAGAAAAAGAAGAAGACTCACCTGCCGCCAGTAATCAAAAAGAAACAACCAGGAAGAGTAAAGGCAAAAAACAGAAGGAGGAGGTCAACCAGAAGGAAGAAAACGACTCAAGGAAGGAAAAGGACCCCAAGAAGACTACCAAGAAGTACAAGAAAGAACCCCCTAAATATTGTTTATTAATACGCTTTTTTACAGGTTCAACATTCGACGCAAGCGTTACATAGGAATTGGCAATAACACAACAGACATACGGATACATAATGTTGTCTATAACAGAGGCTCTTTCCAGTATACGGCCCTTTGTAGAGAAACTGACTCACATTATTGGCGTTGTTTAACAGATAACATGAAGAAGAGGACACTAACGGATCGCTAACCAACACATCATATGCTCCTATATATTGGACTCCTTCAAGCGGACGACGATTGATGGTATCAATGTTGTTTGATAGACGGCGCTGTAAAACTAAAGGCGCATTACACGTCCGTCTCTAGGTTACAAACATGAACAAATAAGACATGTACCAAAGACAATTTGGATTATATTAAGGATAACGCAAATGTTATACCACACTAGTGATGGTAGAACAATAATAAGAAATGTTAATACTTAAGAATGTTAACCTAAGCAAAAATTGTAAACAAAGCAAAGATTGCACTATATAGATATTGCACTCAGAGCTGTAAGAATATGTTAAAAGTATCTTAAGTAGTCGTAAACAATGTATACACAATGTTCCGAACGATGTTATTAGTTTAAGCAACTGTTAAGCCGTATATAATGTAACACAATGAGCTTGTACACATAGTTAAGCTAGACATAAGTAACGTTCAGCCAATTGCCAGACAATGTTAAGATAATCAATGAGGTAGAAAGGAAGAAAACGACTCAAAGAAGGAAAAGGAGCCCAAGAAGACTGCCAAGGAGTCCAAGAAAGAAACCCCCAAAGCCGCAGAGCAAAACAAAAACAATGATCAGTCCACGATTGATCTCTTTACAGCCAAGAAAGCGGACACCAGCAAGAAAGAGAAGCCAGAAGTTAAGACTGCGGAGAAAGGCAAGAAGAAAGATCAAAACACCAACGATTCCAAGCCAAAAGAAGCTCCCAAAAAGGATACACCAAAAACCTTAGGGAAGCCAAAGAAGGAGGAATCAGTAGAAAAGAGCAACAAAGAAGAAAAGTCGCAGAAAGAAAAAGAAGAAGACTCACCTGCCGCCAGTAATCAAAAAGAAACAAGCAGGAAGAGTAAAGGCAAAAAACAGAAGGAGGAGGTCAACCAGAAGGAAGAAAACGACTCAAGGAAGGAAAAGGACCCCAAGAAGACTACCAAGAAGTACAAGAAAGAACCCCCTAAATAT